AATTTTCTACAACAGTACTGATTCTCATTATAAACTATGCAAAATTTATCATTTTTACTCCTGTAGGTGTATCGGCGCACTTAACTCTTGGCGCGTAATCTTTGCATAGGTAGGTATAATCTACGTATGGATTATTTGATCGCTTTTCCGAGAGATTATCATGAGTAAACTTTTCTAGATTACATAGCTAGTCTCAGTCAAGCTGAGATCTCCCTAGTGATGTTGGAATAGGACTCAATATAAGTGAGATTTTAAAGTAATGTGTCTTCGTCGCGTAGATCGCTGCTCAGCAGAAGAGACCTTTGGCTGGCTGCGCCGAGTAGCGCTGTGCGTTCGGCCGATGAGGTTCCCGATTCGTAACTTAGAGAAGCTGTAAACAAAAATGATATTAACTTATGAATAGGTATTCATGAAGTGGTAATTTGTAATGAAAAATGAGAAATAGATCAGATATATTTATGATAGGTAGTTTTTATTTAGAATTAATTTATAAAAACTTATCATATCAATAAGTTAGCTCGTAGTAAATAAATTATGTAAGTTTTGATACCTCTTATTGTTATTCTACATAGGGTTTGGTTTCAGGCAACAGTAAAAGCAACATTGTAATTTATGTACTTTATGTAGGTTTACGATACACAAATCGTGGATTCACCCACGTGAATCATATGAATAAACTTTTGTTTCACGAAACTGATAAGGAGTAGACCTTGAGCTGAATAGACTAATGTATTTTTTGTGTGTGGTTTCTGACAACCCTGGCGTCTAGTGCATCTTGACTTAGTCCCAGTAGGGCTGCAAAAAATATTAGGCGCCAAGATAAAATATTTTCCCTCCACTATACTTTATTTTAAAAAAAATATATTTTCGACCAGGGATTGTTCCTTATCCAAAATACACAATCAAAAATTGCCAAACTTTTACTGTCCCCCATCGCGATAGTAAGAGCGCAAGCGGAGCATACATGCGTATAAGCGTGCGGTACATACGAAGGCGGGATTACCGTCGGGGCTTGCGCGGGGCGTCGCGCTGTGGACCCCGTCCGGGGACGCGAGCGCGGCCCGCAACGACCCGCCTGGGGACTCTGTCATTGATGCTTGGAGGCTGTAGCTCTCTCTGGGGAAATTTGTTGGACATTGTAACAACTACTGCAAAAATCCGTGAATACATTTTGAAATGGGGAGAGATATCGTCGAAATGTAATTTTTAGGGTTGCGTACAAATTAACTGTCTGCTTATAGACCTTTTTTTAGCTTGAAGGTATGATGTTAAAGTTAAAATGAAATGAACTGCCGAAATAGTGGTAAGTAGTAGTGATAGATATTGATAGATAACATAAAGCTAAACAATTTAACATACACATAACGATATAGCAGCCAGCAGGCCAGACCGTTTTATCAAAGTCAAAGTCAAAGTATTTATTTGCAAAGAATAGGTACAATGGTTTAGGTGTTACATTTAGGTAGAGTGCTACTATTCTGCTTAACAATATCAGCATGCAAATTTTGTGTCTAGGAATTCCTTTACACTATAATATACAATGAAGAATGTTCACTAATTTTGTTTTTTAGCTTTCTGTATTCTCTGTTAAAAATAAAAAATACACGTGAAAGAATTATTTCGATACGTCAATTACTTTCCAAGATATTGAATTTTAAAGGTGCGGGCGGCGGCCGGCCCGCCATTTTATGCGCGTGACGTCATATTACAGCGGCTGGCTCAAATTTGTATGGGTGGAATCTTGCAAGCTGAATTAAGACCCACTTCCAGACAACCGATTAAGCTGAAATTTCGCTTACACATGTAATTTGGATGACCATGCAATATTATGATAACATGGAGCTGATCTGATGATGGAGCTGGAAGGTGGCCATAGGAACTCTATAATAAAACGACTTAAATCCATCGAGTTTGGGCTCGTTCGTTTTGTATTGATGAGTACTTTAATTCTATATAGTAATCAGGGTCTAATGATGGAGCTGGAAGGTAATTCGCAATAAAACGACACAATCGCATCAAGTTTGGGTTTGGTTCAATTTTAATTTNNNATGCAATATTATGATGACATGGAGCTGATCTGATGATGGAGCTGGAAGGTGGCCATAGGAACTCTATAATAAAACGACTTAAATCCATCGAGTTTGGGTTCGTTCGTTTTGTATCGATGAGTACATTAATTCTATATAGTAATCAGGGTCTAATGATGGAGCTGGAAGGTAATTCGCAATAAAACGACACAATCGCATCAAGTTTGGGTTTGGTTCAATTTTAATTTCTGTGATGGGTCTGGGTGTTAATATGTATAATAAGTTTGTATTTATAAAAAAAATGTATTTAAGTATGTTTATATCCGTTTTCTAGTGAGCGGCCACTGTGAATGTACGTCACGCGGGGTCACGTGACCGTCGGCGGGACTCAATATTTAAGCGAACTTTGAATGCCTATAAAATCATAACTACTGGGTATTTTTGAATGAAATAAAAACTAATGTATTTGTAAATGTAAAAGCCTAACTGTAACATAGGTTTCAAGTGATTTTGCATACCTAGTAACATTCTCAATTGTCTATAAGCCAGTCTTTTAAGTTCCGTGTCATGACAGTGGTTGACCCCTTCTTAAATCTAACTGGAATTTTGTTATAGATTTTTATACACATATAGTAACAGTTTTTTTTATACAGTGTGAGTCACGTTAAAGTGTACATATGAAAACAGATGAAACTAGACTTATTTTTATCGACAAAAAAGAGGTCAAAAAATTTTTGAGATTTTTTTTTAAATTTTTTATAGAATTTTTTTTCTTCAAATTACTTATTGTTAAGAAAACGTAATAACTTTTAAACTAAGCGGTATATCCTGATAAAATAAAAACAGTAATAATGCTAAATAACCGGCGATACTAAAAAAATACATAAAATACACAAAAAATGCCAACAAATAATAAAAAATGATACTTTTTGAAAAAAATCTGCTTAAAAATTCGTGTTTTTTTGGTTATTTTATAAATTTCTCCAAAAAATGCCCCTATAACCGGTGGTTTTTATTACTTTGTATTATTTTCTATCGTATTATCTTTGTAAAACCAAAAATCGCATGTCTCTATTCCTATCACAACATTTGCTATGATCGTTTGAACAAAGGCCTGCCACAACATTATTCTCCGCTACAGGTAGAGACAATTTTAATTTTAACTAAAATGTTTATTTTACTTCGAAATCTTTTGTTTTTATTTGAAATCTAACTTGTCTTTATCAAAATTACAAATCTAGAGCCATTTTCAGTTTTGTTGTTAACGAAGCGTTGAATGGCGCGCCCGGAGAGGCTTAGTTCAAACGATCATTGCAAACGTTGTGATAGGGATAGAGACATGCAAGTCAAAGTCAAAGTCAAAGTATTTATTTGCAAAGAATAGGTACAATGGTTTAGGTGTTACATTTAGGTAGAGTGCTACTATTCTGCTTAACAATATCAGCATGCAAATTTTGTGTCTAGGAATTCCTTTACACTATATATACAATTGTCTATAAGCCAGTCTTTTAAGTTCCGTGTCATGACAGTGGTTGACCCCTTCTTAAATCTATCTGGAATTTTGTTATAGATTTTTATACACATATAGTAACAGTTTTTTTTATATAACGAAGTTTTTGGACAAAAATCTATTGCGAGTCTATCAGGGAATCTTGGGTTCCTTGGGTATATATCCTTTGCCCTCTGAAATATTTGAGGGTGTTGACTTACAAATTTAAATATTTCGAGAATGTACATGCTAGGAACAGTAAGAATACGTAATTTGGTAAAAAGTGGCCTACAAGAGTCAATCGGTCCACTTCGACAAATAGCTCGGATACATTTTTTTTGTGCAATAAATACTCTTTGGATGTCTGTGCTGTTCCCCCAAATTATAAGTCCATAATTGATGTTTGAGGCAACATATCCGTAATATGCAGATAGCGTTACACTTAAAGAAGTTTTTACTGTCAGACGACGAAGGACGTAAGCAAATCTGTTTATCTTATTACAGACTCTTTGAACATGGCTAGAGAAATTTAAGCTCTTGTTTAAGACTATACCAAGAAATAGCATGTCATTTGATGATTCAATATCAATATTTTGATGTCTTAACTTAAGGTTGATTTCCTTGCGTCCCTTTACATTGAATTGTACACATTTGGTTTTATTCAAGTTTATGTTATCGGCGCAGAGCTGCCGTCATAGTTGCAGAATGTCACCGCTTTAACCCAGTTAACTTTTTCGTCGTTCAGGTGTTGTCACTTCCTAGCAATATCCAAAAAATTGCGTCTATATTCTGAAGCACACAATATTTATTTTTCGATGGATCGGATGACAGTTTGTTTCAAGCCTGCAATGTCCTAGTCAATCTGGGTAACTTGTAGTAAATATAACATTCTCTAAAAAAAAATATTGCGAATTTCGGTTTTTTTTACTTCGATTTTATTTCTTTCAAATAAGCTTTGTATCTTTGACTCGATGTTCGCAAAGTTTGTTTGAAATATGAAAAATCAAAGCGAAAAAGTACTAAATTCGCAATTACAGCCAAGAGCCAATGTTATACTGATGGCCAAAGTTACAGACTAAGAGCTAGTGAACGCCAGATCTACGTCATTTAATAAAAACTGAAAGTTTGTCAGCATAAAATATGCTCCCAATATAGGATATAATGTTGGTGAATTATGAAGTTTGGGTCATCGTGGCTTTGGCACCAACCCTAAAAAAACTATCTGGCAAGGAGTTGGAACTGTCAAAACTGGCTGTTGGGGAAACTACTTCTAATTATTGCCCAGGGTAGCTGCCAAAACCACGATGACCAAAACTTCATAATTCACCAACATTATATCCTATATTGGGAGCATACGCTGACAAACTTTCAGCTTTTATAAAATGACGTAGGTCTGGCGTTCATCAGCTCTTAGTCTATTACCCATATTGACTGTACTCCATTCTGCAAATACACACAACGCAACCACTTCAGCAGTTGAACACCAAACGGATCATGCGTGCACGACATAATCTCATTATGCCTAATTACTGATAGGTGTTAGCTAGCCTGTATCCGGAAGTCGACGAGGTCTGCGATATCTCGCTGTCATACGAGGTGTCGGTGTTGGCGGCGGCTGGTGCGAGGAGAGGCGGCTGCGACCATACTCGGCGGAGCGGCGTGGTGTCTGGACCGGGCGATGAGCACTCGTCGGATTCCATTCGCGCGTGTGACATCTGCCGGTCGAAATGTGTTAGTTTTATATCGTCACTGTTTCATTGCTAAGAATGTTACGGAGAAAAGATGAGAGATTTTGAAAAACACATTAAGTTGCACCTGGCATTATTTTGTCTCTGTTCAATTTTTTTACATGTTGGAAAGGCTTATTCCCGAATTCGCTTTCACTAGATGGCGCCACTGCCTAGTGCAGGACCTTGCTTGACAGTTTAATTTGATGAGTGCAAACATCATAGTCCGACTCCTGCTACCGCTTCAGCGTCTACAGTTCGCGCTACTGTTTTAGTCACTAGTGAACGACAGGATCTGGGCGCCACGGTCTTAGTTACTATAGTCTGGTCTGTGAGCACGTAGAATTTTGTCCAATGACGCCAAGCTACCCATCCTTATCGCTCGCGCGTAATTATATTGTCGCAACTGTGCGACGGGCGCCCGCAGTGAGTGTGCAAGCGCGACAGCAACATAATTACGCGCGAGCGATAAGGATGGGTAGCTTGGCGTCATTGGACAAAATTCTACGTGCTCACAGATCGGGCTTTAGCGAACGTCATGATTTTACTTGCCAGTGGCGCCCACTGGTGAGCACAAATACGATAGTCTCCTGGCCCGCTTTCGTGGTCTCGCCACCTCGTTCTCGTGACGAGCGGGTGGTGGTCAGTTGATATAACAACCTTATTTTTGTAACAAAGACGTGTTGCGAACTTGGCTACTTTGGACATCACAAACTATAGTCGCTGACAGTACAAACGTCGGGCTTGGTGGTAGGCAATTCACCTGGCCAGCGTGACGAGTGTAGGTCAAATCTTCCATTTGTTTCTGGTAAATTAGAGGCTCTCGTGCTCCTCGTTGCTTGCCTCTCTAACTGACGTATCTGACATTTTTTTCGAAACTGAGTTATCTACACCATCTTAATTAATTTTACAAGACAAATCGATCTGTCTAATCGCCTGAAAATTTTGCAAAATGTCAGTTACGTCAGTTAGAGAGGCAAGCGATGTCCTGAAGTCTAGACTGTACGATGATGGAAATAAAACATACGTCTGGTTTAGTGTTCCGGCTGCGTCTAAACTTGAAGGTCTTCTTCGAAGGGCCGTGCGCGCGTTGTAACCGCGGGCGGTCTCCCGGCTCGCTATCGTGTTCTCGCTACGGACTACCTTGCTCTCGTAACGGGCGGGTGGTGGTCTCGCTACGGACCACCTCGCTGTGGTTACGAGTGGTGGTCGGTATACATACGTCTGGCTTAGTGTTTCGGCTGCGTCTAAACTTGAAGGTCTTCTTCGAAGGACCATGAGCGCGTTGTAACCGCGGGCGGTCTCCCGGCTCGCTGTCGTGGTCTCGCTACAGTCGCTACGGACCACCTTGCTCTCGTAACGGGCGGTAGGTGGTTTCGCTGCGGACCACTTCGCTGTGGTTACGAGTGGTGGTCGGTATACATACGTCTGGTTTAGTGTTCCGGCTGCGCCTGAACTTGAAGGTCTTCTTCGAAGGGCCATGAGCGCGCTGTAACCGCGGGCGGTCTTCCGGCTCGCTGTCGTGGTCTCGCTAGGACTACCTCGCTGTGGTTACGAGTGGAGGTCGATATACATACGTCGGGCTTAGTGTTCCGGCTGCGTCTAAACTTGAAGGTCTTCTTCGAAGGACCATGAGCGCGTTGTAACCGCGGGCGGTCTCCAGGCTCGCTTTCGTGGTCTCGCTACGGACTACCTCGCTGTGGTAACGAGTGGTGGTCGATATACATACGTCGGGCTTAGTGTTCCGACTGCGTCTGAACTTGAAGGTCTTCTTCGAAGGACCATGAGCGCGTTGTAACCGCGGGCGGTCTCCCGGCTCACTGTCTCACTGCGGACCACCTTGCTGTGGTTACTAGTGGTGGTCGGTATACATACGTCGGGCTTAGTGTTCCGGCTGCGTCTGAACTTGAAGGTCTTCTTCGAAGGCCCATGAGCGCGTTGTAACCGCGGGCGGTCTCCTGGCTCGCTGTCGTGGTCGGGTTCGCTTCGGACGGCGAGGTTGCCGGCGTCGCTCTCGCTCTCTCGTGGGTCGCGCGGTGAGAGAGGCGATAGCGGCGACATTGAGTTCTCGCCTGTGGAGTTTATACAATGATCGCATTTTGTTTCGTTAGCACTATAATAGACATAGCAATAGCAGACCTTATTAAGACAAAGAAATAGGATTAAAATGTGGAATAGCGTAACAAATTATGTTTATGGCAATTAAATATCTGAAGGATTTTCAGAAAAATCTGATATAGATTGCGCTATAATCTTAGATAGTTGCGTCTAACTAACTTAACTAGCACTTACCTGAATTAAGTTTAAATTCTACCGAAGGTACAAATCTCAGTTTGGTCTGCGTGCTGCCAAACGACGGAGTACTAGCGGCAGGTTTGGTATCACTTCCAAAGACTGTGGAACCTGCAAGTATACATGCACTTTCATACATTCTGAATTCAATCGGTTCTTACGTCTTCGTCCATAGATACTTAATTTTAAATAAGGCAAATGGACCTTTAATACCAATAACAATCTTATAGTGTTTGAGAATTAGGACCTAAACTTTGTGATTCGCGGCCCCGATTCATTGGGCTCTGGTGGACACCGTCGGGCTTTAGTTGGTATATGCCCTGCCTTTCTATCGTGTAAAGTCCCACATAACCCACTAGTCATCCCCATCAGCCAGTGGTTATGCGCAAAGCATTTCGCGATGTAAAAGAGGACTTATACTTGGTTACAACAACAAAATTTAAACTAAGTTACTGCGTGGATATCTGTTATTGGCTTTCCATAGTGTTAAGTGTCTAATGTTACATTGAAATCTGTAAGCTGTTGATGTCCCTAATAAATAAATAAAAGTTACATAATGTTACACCCGACGCATAAGAAAAACCGGAAAATTCATAGCTATTATGCAATCAATAAGAGCTATTTTCCCATCCACTCACCCATATGCGAGTTGTTGCTGCTGCCGTGGTTATTGCTGATATCGCTAGCGCGGCCGCTGCTGGTCATCGCTTCAAACAGCTGCATGTGCTGGCTGGTTGTGGAACCGCTCGATACGGACTCTGGAGCAATTTGAGATTTATTGCTATGGGGATAGAGTCACTGATCGCGTTGTATAAGAGGATGAGAGTGGGGGATAATTAGGTATAGTTTGAGGAAAGTCGATATTGATTTAGGCCATTTGGGAACCCCAAAGTGGGGGACCCCCAGGGGAGGCGCAAAGACCTTTAAAGGGGCGCGCCCCCCTTTATATCCATCCGCCATCAGTGTACTTAAGTATAAAAAACCTGCGACCGCTGCGAGAATGCATTCCAGCCTGCTCGATACAACCAATAAATAATCTTGACTGGAGGAGGGGGGCGCGGAATTTTTGTATGGTCGAAAGGAGGCGTGTCTCAAACAAGTTTAGGACCCAATGATTTAGGCACTTGTCCAGCCGAAGAAAAGGTTATTAAGTAACTGTAAACTGTTGAACTGCTTGCCAGACCAGAACGGATCTGCTTCTTCGTCGCTTATTTTATCATGTCGCACATTATCGACGTGTGCGCCAGTTATTAGATACGGGCACAGTTTGAGACTAGAGTTAAGTAACCCTGTGGTTCTTGCAGCGTAAAATAGGATCAGGCCCTTTCTTCCCGCGGATGTTGTGAGGCGGCTAAATCCTCCTTTTTGCCTTTTGTAAATTAGAGGGTCGTCCTCATATGGTGGAGACTACATGACCTGATAATTATGACACTGAGAAACTATCAAAAGTTTTCCAATTCTTACCTCTCTGTGCAGACAGTGGCGCTGAAAGATGATCAGGCGTCCTTGGCATAGCACTTCCGCGGCCCACCAGCATAGATATAAGCGAGGGCCGGTGCTGTTGTGCTACTTATTTCATTGTCTCACACACCATCGACGTATGCGCCGGCTATAAGGTCCAGGCACAGTTTGAGAAGCTATAATTAGTTTTCGAATTCTTACCTCTCTGTGCAGACAGTGGCGCCGAAGGATGATCAGGCGTCCTTGGCATAGCACTGCCGCGGCCCACCAGCATAGATATAAGCGAGGGCCGGTGCTGTTGATGCTTCTCTTGTGCGTTTGTGCGAGGGAACACCTCTGAAGCCCTCTTCCCTGCACCCTGACCTAGGTTTTCGGCTATTTGGTCTGGAAATAGATCTGAAAAATCCGATTGAATTTTTTATTCACTTTACAGTGGGTCTTTTTGGCACAAACTTTCATGAATGTTAATGAAATATTTTTTGTACAGAATCTTTCTAATTTTCAATCTATTCTATTTAGGTATTTGTATAAAGTTACTAAGGTATAGGGTAAACCAACAGTCATTGGACACTGCCAGTCATTGGACAAAACACCCCTTGAATTTTCTTAAAATTAATATTCCATCAAATGCAAATTTCAACTTAACACCCTTTTGTCCCCAACAGTTGGAACCTCTCAGTTGTTGGAATAGAAATGCTATTTTTATTCAATAAATAACTGTCTAATAACTCCCTTAAGTGTCCTATCACTGGCAGTTTACCCTAGTTTATTCATAGAGAATTTAGCTTTTGCACATAAAAGTGATGTACAGTCGGAGAATGAAAAGGTTCGTCACCTTAGTGTCGGTTTTCGCTTGTACTAGGTACTGTAAGAGTCAAACCTGCCAACATTACAGTGCAAGAAACAGTGCTGCTAACATTTAAATAAATAATTATGACGTTTGCTAACGAATAAGGTTTTGATTGTTTATTTTTCTATCCCATTAGTGCAATGCAATGATGACATTGACCAATTGACAATAGTTTTTTTTATTTAATAGAAATAATAATGGCCGGTTGAACCAACAAGAAGGTTTTAGTTTATCAATCATAATAATCTTCTTGACAAGATAAATCGTCAAACAACCTTGATCTGAATAATTTTGAACTTTACTGAAGAAATGTTAAAGATTATTTTCTCTTACTCGAGATTATTCTGTAACATAGTTTCAAAAGGTAATATGTGCCGCATTTCGTTGAAGGAATCAATTTGAAAACTGACGAACCTTTTCATTCCGTGACTGTACATTGGCGGATTTACTGCCGCGTGGCATTCTCAATCAGATAAGCATAGGTCAAGCAAAGAAAATACATACTTACAACGACTAGATAAAATAAACAACATAGTACAAAATACATTATCATACATATAAATCTTATTAGTCTAGTTCTAGGTAAGCAAATGGTGATACTGGGCCTTGACTTAAAATATTGATGCAAATTACCCGAGTAAACCGACCGACTGACGATCTGGTAAAGGTCGCGGGAAGAGCCTGGATGCGGGCAGCGCAGGACCGTGCATTGTGGAAAACCTTGGAGGAGGCCTTTGTCCAGCAGTGGACGTCATTTGGCTGAAACGAACGAACGAACGAACCCGAGTAAAGTAAAATACATACCGTACTTGAACTGGTCGTAAGATTCCCGCATAAGTTTTAGCTCGCGAGCTAGATCGGCCAAGAGCGTGCCGCGAGCGCGCGCCGCCGGCAGCTTGAGGCCGCGAACACGCTCGCGAACTACGAACTGCATGTGGCGCTCGTTGTCGCCTATCGGCGGCTGAGATAGCTGTTCGATAAAATTATGTGTTATACATTCGGCTTAGTTTTAAGAAAGATCCAGAGTCACTTCTTCAAAAAATAGGTAGTTACGCTTCAGCCAACTTTTATGGCTATAAAACTGTTAAATTGGGATTAATCGCTATCCATCTGTTAAAAAGGACACGTAAGATCATTATTTGGTTCTATAACCACAAAAATTGGTCTAATTGATCCCAGAGGTGAGCCCAAAGTGAGGCCTTTTTTCAAGTCACATTTATGGTACCTGTTAAAAGTTTATAAAAAAAATGTGTTTTTCTTTAAGTTTATTTATTGGGCTTTCAAATAACACCAATATTGTTGGGGCACCATGATTGTGTCAGAAGAAAATCTTTATAGTTCGCGTCGCGGAAGGTGCGATTTATTTGATGTTGAGTTATTTGTGAACTTTAACTAACTTTATGAACAACTAGATTGTCCGGCGCAACTCGTAAGATTTCCGCAATTTCTTGTAGACTTGAATTTGGCCAAAGACAATGTTTTCTATACACTTTAAATCTACTGTAGAGCTCTACCTCTATAACACACTGTGAAGCTCTGCCTGACTAATGCAAGTAGTTTTGACTGGAAAGCAATACAACTCTGATATCATTTGCCACTGTGTGGCGTTTGCAACAATGCTTCTTGTAATGTTTTTCAAAAGCTGCTAAAATAAAATGCTGGATAAAATAATTGATTGATTACCAACCTTATGTACTATGAAAGGCTGCAGCAAAATGTACAGCGGGGTCCTATAAGTGACGACGTGTTCCAAAAAGTCCCACAGATGGTGTGCCGCCTCATTCCGCCGGCCTAAGTCGCGCATCGCTCGCGCTATGCGGCCCCACTCGCTACATAACTCGCTTGTGAAGCATGAACACATTACTTTGAGGGCTGTGGATAAAGAGTTTATTAGTTTTCATGACTTTAATGTGTAGTGATTTGAGATATTGTCATTTTACAATAGCGAGAAGGGAAACAAAGGAGATTGAACTGACACAATCTAGATATACAGGGTGTGGCGTTTAAATAAGGTACGCTACAATTTGTATAACCACCGCGAAAATAGTCAACTCACGCAGGTATTGACTAACCATTTTTTACTAGAATAAAATCATTACAAACTATATATTATAAACAGTCTGCAGCTCTTTCAGCGTCGTTAAAAGATCTATCTTTTCAATTAATCGACGAATTTGGGAACGGATTTATATTTGTCTGAAAATTTAACTACCTTACAAACGTTTATAGGATTCATTAAAATACTGATTGTATTCGGCAAGGTTGGCGAAACCCAAAGGAATGAGATCATTGAGTTTGTCCATGTCCATGAATTTTGACTTGGAAATGTTGGTTGTTTCATAAATGCAAAAAAAAAATATATAAAAATACTTACACAAAAACGCGATCCTATACAGCTGGTTGGACAGCCTAGTAGTATTCCTCGTGTCCCTACTACCAGTGAACGTTAGCGAGTTGGCCCTCGCATCGGCTGCGTTCAGTTTCGCATTGACGGCCGCCAACTGGCCGGGCGGCGCCGGCGGGCATAGCGCGTTCAGGATCACCGATATTAGGTGGTTGACGTCCGATTGACGGAGGGGAGGCGTGTCTGAAATTAGGAATAATAGGGATGATGACTGGGTAATAAAATCGAAATTATATTTAGTCCGTCAGACAGATAATAAAAAAATTTTAGACACATATTTTTTTCATAATCGAATAATTACAGTATTAATTGAATTGAAATCTCGCGTGACGTCACTTTTGAGTAACAATTCTACTCAAGCGTGTCGTAACGCGCCATTATCTGTCTGACGGACAAATAATTGAAATTTTGTCATCTAGCCTATTGCATTTTTTTATACAAACATTCACATTACTTTAGGAATGTTCATTAAAAATCCACAGTTTTAAAGGTCTTTATCATAGACCAGAAAGGATCGTCTGGAGCTCAAATAAAAAAAAGTATGATATACATATAACTTACCATCGAAAGCACAAAATGAAAATTAACAACCTTTCCATTAAAACAAAAAAGAAAAGACCACTTCATAGGTTGATATTGCATGGTTATTGATAACTGATAACATCTAGAAGGTGACACAGTCATTGGCTGTGTAAAAATGCAGAATATCGACATTTTGCCATTTGGGAATGTTTAAATTTTTAAGTGACCCCTATGAAAACAAAATTCCTGTTATGTGTTAACATAGGGGTCACTTAAAAAATGTGATTGATGGTGAAAATGGGTATTAGTTTTATAGTGGACTGCAATTAGCTGAAATGATTAAGTAGGCATAACCTCTTCTTATCCATGCCTCTATTAATTTTGCGATAGTAGTATTATTTCTAAATGGGTTACCAAATACATACCTTTTCTACCGCTGCCAATTCGCAAGCAAAGGGGCATGAGTAAGTTCATCAACATATTCTCAGTTTTTTCTGCTGATGGGAATATTGCTGTGCCGCCACACATTTGTTCTATGCTGTAACTGTCCTGAGAAGGCAGATCAACGTTTATAACCATTTTTTTTATGTATACTAATACCATATATACGATATTTATAGGTCTAGTTCTTTACTCAGTCAGCGCCTGAGGGGCTGTTCAAGTATTACGTAAGCACCAATTTCTCTGTTTTGCTTATTTTGGATGACATGGGGGGTAGGGGGTCTAGATGATGATTACGTCATCGTTACTAATTTACGTTTTTTCGGGGATTCCCGCAAATAATACATAGGCGTAGGCATTCGCTTTGAGAACTGATTAGGGGAATTACCGCACATTAGGGAAATTACCGTACTCTATTCACTTGTCTAATAATTAACTCTCGTGCCGACACTGCCCATTGAAATTTGAGAGTCGTAGTCCGCATAACTAAAAATGTTTACGTAAGCATAGGGGGAGGGGGTAAGTACTTTGCTTACTTTTGATGACANAAGGGGGGCGGGGGGGGGGGGGGGAAAAAAATGGAAAGAAATTTGCTTACGTAATACTTGAACGGCCCCTGAGGTATAGAATCGGCAAGGGAGGGGTGTCATACACAGCATACACTCGGCATCAAATAAATCGCACCTCACGCAACAAGCACTTTTCAAACGTATGCATCCCCAGTTCCCACCAACATTGGTATCATTTAGGTTTGGTAGCCTAGTTCTAAACTTCATTTCATTAATGGAAAGGTTTTTACCCCAAATATTCTTAAAGAAACAGGTAGACGTCACTCAGGAGGATTTGATGAGTGCTACTGACAACGCCACTCTTGTGGCGGAGTTTTGGGCTGACACTGTGTAGGTTTGTTGTCGACACGAAAAGAAGAACAGGTACTTAGCCAACTTTTATGGCTATAAAACTGTTAAATTGGGATTAATCGCTATCCATCTGTTAAAGAGGACACGTGAGATCATTATTTGGTTTTAAAACCACAAAAATTGGTCTACTTGGTCCCAGAGTCCCGGTGAGCCCCAAGTGAGGCCTTTTTTCAAGTCACATTTATGGTACCTGTTGTTTATAAAAAATTAAATGTATTTTTCTTTAAGTTTATTTATTGGGCTTTCAAATAACACCATAATTGTGTCAAAAGAAAATCTTTGAAGATCGCTTCGCGGAAGGTGCGATTTATTTGATGTTGAGTGTATTACGACGTGATAGAGCATATAAATCTGAGGAGATTAGCAGTCTTGCTGACGTCTGACGTTACAAAAACACCCTCCCGTGCCGATCCGACCTATAGGATCACATACCCCAGTGTTAACGACTTGTATAGCGAGTAATCGTACGACAGTGCTACAAAAGTATGACGGTGGTGGCTGAGACATAAGCGCAGCTGAGGCTGAAGACAAATTCTCCCCCGTATTATTACTATCTGATACGATTAGTGCCTGGAATAGAACGATTTAATTTAGTCCAAATACGGATATGAGTAAGGTTTAAATTCGTATGTATGTCAATTTACCTGAATAGTATTGAGGAGTGTCTTTACTTGCTGCCAATGCATTATGTACGGACATCGTATCATAGTTTCGTAAACTCCTTTCAGTAAGTTCGACGCTGAGACCCAGTCTGTGTTCCGCTGGAATTGCCAATAAATTAATTAATTTATGGTTTCAAAAAAAGCTTTAAAGAGCTTACGAATACAAAAGTCACGGTGAAATTTATATTTACTGATACTTGTTTAATAAGGTAACATATTATAGGTCGCGCAACGAAAGTTGAGACAAACACCTACTCACATTGATGTTATATTTTATTTGAATATAGAACACAAATCAGAATACGCAAGACGCTACAAGCGTATTATATGTACCATCCTAGACTGCATCTCACTTAACGATTGCGGTCAAATACCTGCCTTGTCTAGCAAAAAAAAATAGACAAAAATCTTTGCTTGTGTTGATCGCCTCATCTCTTGCTGCGTAACCTTTAATATGCATACTAAGGATGAATTCGACCAAATAAGAGTAAATATTAATCTCAGAATAAATCATCAGTTATTCGTCATTTTGACATATTTCCCCCACTGAAACTGTCAGTGTACCAGTTATACCAGGAGTTATTCTCGGATAAAAGTTTGGTCGAATGGGGCCTAAAACATCTATCTCATTGCACTAATATAATCTCTAGCATCAACCGCTTATAACTGTCTTATAACTTACCCGAATGCCAGATTTCTTAGCGATCTTCAGGAAGACTTTGTCAAGCCGTCTCAAGATCATGATCAGAGACGGTCTCAAGGCATCATCAGCCCAGTCGGCAGCTGGTAGGACTTCGCTCATGTACCGTTCTAGTCCACGGCAGCCCATAGACTCGGGATCATAAGGGGAAACCTTTAGCAGGGAGTGGGCGATTTCTGCTAGACGCTGTAAAGAAAATTACGAATAAGGGTTTTTAGGGGTCCGTAGCCAAATGGCAAAATACGGAACCCTTATAGATTCGTCATGTCTGTCTGTCTGTCCGTCCGTATGTCACAGCCATTTTTTTCCTAAACTATAAGAGCTATGCTGTTGAAACTTGGTAGGTAGATGTATTCGGTGAACCGCATTACGATTTTGATGCAAAAATAAAAAAATAACAATAAATATTGGGGGCTCCCCATACTTAGAACTGAAACTCATAATTTTTTTTTTCATCAAACACATACGTGTGGGGTATCTATGGATAGGTCTTCAAAAATGATATCGAGGTTTCTAAAACATTTTTTTTCTAAACCGAATAGTTTGCGTGACAGACGCTTCCAAAGTGGAAAAAAGTTGGTCCCCTCTAACTTCTAAAATAACAAAATGAAAAATCTAAAAAAAAAAATATGATGTACATTACTATAAAAACTACCAACGAAAATTGTTTTGAACGAGATCTAGTATCACTTGGCCGGTTTTTGAAAATGATGGCGTTTGTCTTTCAGACACGGTCGTCGTTATAGTTGATTACTATGACCTGTCATTAAGAAGGCTATTTTCATTAGGGGAGACGGAGGTGAGTTGTAATAAAGTTATTTTTTTTAACCTATGTCAGTTATCAAGCCAGCAACTTCGCGAATTCGTTACTTTGTTTTTCGAAACAATAGAACCATGCAAACTACAGTGTTTTTTAAACAGCCAAGGTACCAAATGGCAATCGACTTACAGCATGTGATTTGGAGTCCAACAGTTCCACCGGTTTCCCTTCGCTGCCACCACTGCCTTTAGATCCGTTGAGGTCTATTAGCCTTGTCGTAGCTCGACCAATAAAATCCCCGACCAGAGACAAAAGAACGTCACGAGGACGGCGGTATTCAGCTCGCACCAACTGATAAAAAAAGTTCTGAAATGAAGCTTATTAAAATATGTTGGAAATGATAATGCTATACTCGACACAGACTCGTTGCAGACGGGGCCATAAATAGAGATGCGCACGCGGTAATATTTTATTAATTAATACGTATACTAATAATGCTCATCGCTACCTCTATGTGACGTCACCCATAACTAGTGTAAGTGCGAGAGAAAACGTGATATGCGCTGTCTTATTATTGCGCCGTCTGTCTTGAGTTTTTGGACGAGTATAGAGAAAGTCCAAAAGTATACAGCTAACATCCCAACTAATCCCAACTAATATTATAAATGCGAAAGTAACTCTGTCTGTCTGTCTGTCTGTTACGCTTTCCCGCTTAAACCTCGCAACCGATTTTGATGAAATTTGGCATAGAGATAGTTTGAGTCCCGGGAAAGAACATAGGATAGTTTTTATCCCGGTTTTTGAAACAGGGACGCGCGCGATAAAGTTTTTCTGTGACAGACAAAATTCCACGCGGGCGAAGCCGCGGGCGGAAAGCTAGTAAATAATATTTCATTATGTTACAGTTATTGGTAGAAAAAATCTGTAAATTAAAAATTCTAATGTGTGTTTTCTCACACTAAGGTTAATTACACTACTTTGTGTACATGTAAATTTTTGAAATAAATGAATTTTATTATAAAAGAAAAAAAATAAAGGTTCAAGCGAGATGAATGGCCACTCTAGGCGTCAGATATTTAAGAGCATCTTTACCTACCTACAATGGTAATCTAGTCAATGGTGTAGTTTTACCGATGTTTTTCAAATACAGTGAAGGTTGATAAGTTATTTAAAAAATGTACCTCGGAATCCTCAGTGCCAGTAAATTCAGGCACAGTTATTTTAGAGTTATCGAACTTGGAGTGTGATTCGTCAAATATGATGTTTGTCGCTGCCGAGCGAGGTACTGCTCTTTGGGAAGAACCTTTGTGTTCTGGCGACGTTCTGTACGGACCGTTGTAAGATCTGAAGAAAAAAATACGTTACGTGTAAAATATACAACAGTTCAATACACACAGTTAATAAAAATAGTGTTCAAAAACATTCAGAAACTACAAAAAAATCTTACTTAGACAGTCCTTCGCAGTTATTGACTAAAGTTTTGATAGCAATGGCTAGTTGCTGTATGATCTCCTTTTCAGTCTTCCCTTCTCTGTTATATGTCGGTAGTTGTATCTGTTTCACGTAGCACGGCAAAATCGCCTCTAATATTATCTGAAATAAAGAATTATGCACGATGAAAAGGGAAGTTGGCGAGATCAGATTCTATTCGAATGCGATATCTTTAGTAGCAGGCAATTGTTTTGTCTTGACAGCTCTGGTAGGTTTTCTACAAAAGTCAATCTTATTCTTCAGGTAATAAGGACCAGGGTAAGGACTTACCAGCATCTGATATCCCCTCATACTCTCAGCCGAATATGATACAACCATGACACAAAGGCTGATGCAGTCCAGTACATTGACCATTTCCTCTTCGTCTCGGTAGCAGAAGTCGATGGGTTTCAATGGTTTTTCTTCTTTGATCAGCTCGGCAATGTGTAACGGATCAGGCGAAGGAGTTTCCAAGCTTAGGAGTAGGTTGAATAGGCAGCTGGATTGGACCTAAAATTTTCCAAGTATACTCGTACTTTCATAAATTATTACAAATAAATTAGAAAGTCGAATCACAAAATAATGGACACTTTAATGAGCTGAAAATCTTCCCCTCATAGATTTTCCGTAATTGTGAAGTTACTTGAAAAGTAATTCATGATTTTATTTGTGAAATTGTGCAATTGAAATTAGATTTAACTTACTTTGCTTGCATCACCATAAGTAGATTCTTCGTCCGTATCCAAGATGGCGGATACGGAGCCAAACATTTGCAGTATGAATGGCTTCCTGTTTAGAAGATAGAACTGTTTCACAGCGTACTCGATTGTAGTAGTCACTAGTTTGTTAGTTTGGAAGTTCGAATAGATTTGCAACAACGTAGGCATTATTAACAGGTATCTGAAAATAAAGTAGAGAAACATAATAGAGCCAAATGTTGGTCGAATATGAATGAATTAAATATCTTTGCCAAATCATGATCGATATAAACTTTCGCAAAGAATACGTACCCATTAGTAGAGAAAATGCTTTTAAAGTTAAATGCAGCGTTTACATAAGTAGCAATAACGTATCTCAGTATCAAGGAGTCTTCGCTGTGCAACATAAGCGCTCCATTGAGGACATTCAGGAACAGATGTATGTCCCTCGAAGATGTGAAGTTACCTGCCATCGCTTCGAACATACGTGCGATCAAACGTACCCACCTGAAAATATTTTAATCTATGAATCCGTGGAACATTAATAAAGGTATTTAGTACACTTTGTTTTATAATCTGCTTGAGCTGACAGTGACACACATGTTTCAGTCCCTTTTAATATTACTTGTTAGGAAAAGGGATACTAAATAAGTTTTGGAATGAGACCTACCGTATTAGCGCTCACTAGTTGGCGCCACTCCACAGTAGGATCCTGTCACTCACCAGTAGCGCCACCTAGCGAGCCCTAATTAAGCCTTAAATAAGCTGCAATACTTTTTAAAATATATCTTACATAAACTTGTGTAAAACATCCAGTCCTAATAGCGTTGAGCCTAATGGCCCATGGCTGTACAAAGTTAAATCAGCTTCAAGCGCTTTACGCGGGAATGACGGTAGCTTCATTAGTTCATCGTGCAAGAATACCACTCGTTGGACGACCTGTTGAAATTAATGATAAAGATTACATTATTAACATTCTGGAAAACATGTTTTTGTTGCAAAATCGCGTCTATTACGACTACTTAAAGTACTACAGTGTTAACCATCATGTGCCATTTTCTGTACACCACTTCTTTTCTTCAAACTAGTATTTACAGCGTACAAAACCCTTACCATATCTACATTCTTCAGGATTGCCCAAGTAAGCAACACTTTTCCAATCTCAACGAATTTCGCCAACAGTTCTTGTTGCTGCAACTTGTGGAAAGCCTCGTTAGGCTCCATGTGAACCAACCCTAGTTGAGGGTATTGCGATCGCTTGAAGAAATAATGATCGCGAACATAGTTTTGCGGGTTATGGATTTGACCTGCGGTAAACAAAAGAAGAATTTAATAAATCAGTTGCCAAGCAAATGTCGACCTAATTGAGATAAGGATAATTACTACTTACGCGTTTTAAAATCGACCAAGAAATGTTCACGATGAAGATGCTCAGGAATGCCGAAGAAATCAAGCGATTCTTTCAAGATTTGTGAGAACACTGTGTCTTCTTGTACAGGGAATTGAGAAGGGATACTGCCTTCGTTATCAGCTGAAAAGTATATTTATTAATTTAGACGAGCAATCTCGTGGGTCTTGGCAAGTTTCGTCCTAAAATAATGTCCTTGTAAAAGACAATTGACAAAGAAGAACTAAGTAAATGCTTACATGGACCGTGCACGATGATTTTCTTAGCAGCAGGCACATTCGCTGTGAGCAATATTGAAGCGTCACACTGCTCTTTCCGCAATATTTGCTTCAAATCTTTGAACATGATTCCGTGCACACTATGGACGACCTAAAATCAAACGTACTCGTATAGAATAAGACACATTTTGAAGTATGTAAAGTTAAATAGATTAGACGAAAGTCTGTGCTACAGATACTGTGTGACAAGGAGATATTGTAGAACCTCCTATATTTTTAAATGTACAGCAATATGAGTCTTAATTTACCATCCATAAGATCGATAACGCTGCTCCAATCAACCTCTGTCCATCTTCATGAGGAGACCTGACGTAGAACATTACGTAGCCAATGATGTAGTTATACAACGCAAAGGCCGCTTGCTGTGGCAGTCTCGGTATGAAACGTATAAGATGACGTAGGAGTTTGAACATTTCGTCCTGGTGGTCGCGGGTTAAACGCTCCAAGACGTGACGTAGGAAGAGGGCGGAGTCTTCCACAAGGCAGCCCCATATGACCTATAGAATATAATATTTTGTTAAAAGAAGTAGCATTCGTTCTTAAAACTGATGATAAAATTGCTATTCTTCTGCAGTAACAGAAATATATCCACCTTCTATTGTAAAAGTTAACTTTGTTACAATTGAATAAGGTTCAAAATTAAATTATGTGCAACTGACAGTACAGTTAACAACTTGACTGTCGATTTATTAAGTGCAAGACAGTCATTTAGGTAAGTGCGGTACAGTTTCTGTGTATTCGTAGCCAAGACCATTAAGGCAACTGTAACCAAATAGTAGACATTCGAATAATTACTAAAGGCTTTAAGTGTGTGTGCTGTATAGTGGGTTAATTAAACGTACCTGATAAGCAACTTCATAGACCGAACAGCCGTCGCGCGAGACAGCGGCATCGTCCAATAAAGACACGATCTCAGCCACCGCTGAGCACAGCACAGAAGGGAACAGCGCCGACGCTACTTGCGTGTGGTGGGAGCCTCTGACTCCTTCGGCCAGCTCTTCGTCTACTGGCGCTGGGTATGAAGAAAAAGTTGGTATACTATGCGAGAATAGTAACTGGAAATGTTATGAAAAATGAAGCTCAAGAATTATAAGTGGTCACTCTTAAATATGTAGCTATCCAAACAAATTATTTTTAAAATTAAACAGCAGTTTCAGAGATGCATTGTGATCTGGGAGTTCTGGGACGCACTCCTCTCATGGTTAGTAAAAAAATTACATTGTAGAAACTTGCTCACATATTGCAATTAGAATAAGAGATGGGTATATCCTAATGGGTCACATCACAATGCAGTACGCTAAGGCGTGGCCCGATATAAGAGAAGCTAGAAAATGTAACCATTGGTGACGCTAGTGAGCTCATATCAGCCCCTTAAACCTTCGACGCTAGAAGAATCGACAAAGTGCAAAAAGTTGGTTTCTTTTTATTTGGAAAAACTACTGCCTGTGGTATAGGAGCGGTACAGGAGGGTGTTTTTGAGACGTCAAACGTCAGTGAGACTTCAGGTATGCCTCAGATTTGTATGCGGTCACGACATAATATAATGTCAATGTAGCCCTTCCGTGCCGCTCCCATAGCTCAGGCCCTGAGATAAGCGATAAATTATAGGTCAATTTAGATTATGTTATTTACGTTCAATATGGTCGTCGGCCGCATGGTCCAAGGCAGGTTCCCTGGCCGCTTGCCTGGTTATAGGTATGGTCGTGATGAGGAAGCTTTCTCTCTCCGCGCGTTTCTTGTCGTTCCGCTGTTGCAGCGCTCTCTTGATAGCTTCGGTTTGCTGCTTCTTTCGCGTTTTCGTCGCGGTGACTAGTGAACGCTAGAGAGAGTAGTGGAAATTAGTGACTGGTTTTGATGTAAAATGTTTTGACTTTTAGCAATTGACAGACTTGTGGAATGGGTTTTATACTAATGTCGATAAAATAGGGAAGAGTAATTTGATGATCGTTAAGCCGCATTATCAGTTTTTTTTATTGGGATCGACGCATAACACCTATGTGCAAAAAAGGTCTACATAAAAGTATAGTACATAATGGGACATTTATTTGTGATAAAATAGATTTATAGGATGTGAATTAAAATCTAAAGAACTACAAGAATTTCAATGATGTACAAGTAAAACAACTACAAGTATTTTAATGAAGGTACAAATACAGATTACCAAGAAATATAAATTATAACCATTGTCTTAAAAGCCTTTAGATGATTGCACATGGAGTCAACATTGAATATACATAAGCATTAAAATCGATTGTACTTGCGCGTGGCCATCAAACCGATAGAAAAGTCAAGCGTTGATTTTCCATCGCCTCAGTCATCCCACTGGGATACTCAATGCAGGCCACATCTTTTTAAGATAATGCCAAACTGTATGTGCAATAAAGATTAAGTGTATATAAAAAAAAACTAACGCGATGAAAGTGTTTCCTTACATGGCGTTCTTGATTCAAGGTCATCTCCATATCTTTATCCTTGACTTGCGGGCTCCACGGAGGATCAACCACTGCTAGCGACTCGATGCCGATCTTGGGCGAGGGGAGAGTGAATTCGATGCCCGGCGGAGGCACTTTGAAGGTCATAGACGCGCCTTCCTCCATGCGAGGCCACACTTGGTACCGTAGCTTCCACATCACTTGAAAGCGGAGGATTGCGTTTATTCTGGAAAGAATTACAGGTGTATACTACAGTGACTGCTGGTTGTGGATTAATTATAATCTATTTTATTGTGAGGGATGTAATACCATGTTGTCATATGTTTGACCCGCTATAGGCATTTGATATTATGGGTTGATCGGATAGACGGCTTTTCGTAATCCCTTGAGAATTTTATCTGGACTTTTCTAATGAAAAAAAAAATGCTTATTAAGCCCGTATAAGTATACTTGATCTACTCCGTATTTATTTCAAAAACATTGGAAAAAGTTGATATTTGTTGCTCGATACTCATAGACAAGCTTTGCTAATTTTGGAATTTTTATGATTATTTTAAATGTCCCAGAATATTTAAATAATTGTTATTTACTACACTATGATAGACTTGTAGCAACTCATTGAGTTGTCAAAACAAAAATCAAAATCACATACCTAACTCCAGGCTCGGAATGTTTCAAATCGTTATGCATGATCTCAGCAGCTGTATGCGGCGTCTTCACAGCGGCCAGTATAAACAGCGCGGCCGCACACGAACTCAACTCGCGGTCCGATTCTAGCAGCAATTGCCACGCTACAGGAGCCGATTCCGCGAATAGTTCTTCACTCATTGTGGTGGCGCCTTTGATTAGTGTTGCTAATGTGGTGTGGTGGGCGTCGCGTACCTGGTGATAGTTTTAATTTATTGTTAGTGATAGTTAAGTGAAGTTTGTAATACGATCATTAGTTGACTGAATGTAGTTTTAATATTGAGTTATCAAAATGCGGCTATCGCTTATATGACGTCACTAGTTTGCGTGCCTAAATAACACTCATCTAATAAGCTGTCAAAACACGATTCTTCAATAAAGCCCGGTCCGTGAGCACGTAGAATTTTGTCCAATGACCCCTAGCTACCCATCCTTATCGCTCGCGCGTGATTTTATTGCTGTCGCGACTGTGCGACTGGCACCCGCAGTGAGTGTGCGAGCGCGATAGCAACATAATTATGCGTGAGCGATAAGGATGGGTAGCTAGGGGTCATTGGACAAAATTCTACGTGCTCACGGACCAGACTATAGATTTGGTGCAATGTGGACGTTTGACGTCACCCATGTTTGCCAACGAATTAATTGACTATTAAGTGTTTCAAAACAACTGAGAATTCAATCAAAATGAAGTGTTCTGTTAAAGTGAATGCACACAAAAATATATATTCTCACCTGTCCTTTGAGATACTTCAGTATCGGTGGCGGGTCAGGCGGTGGATACGGCATCGCGCCAGGCTTGGTGATAGGCGGTATTTCTGCGTGAGCCATCGTGTGGTCAACTACCGCCGCTCGGTACGCCAGCCCGGCCGATTCTATGACTGAACGGTCGATCCTGTAAACAAAGTTGAACATTACTATCATGCAACGTTACAATAAAGTAATAATCATTTCTAGTACTCGTAGAGTTACAAAACAATATAGAGCATTATTGTGATCCCCATCACAGCTACATCTCTGTGGGTTGATTAAGTATACTCAAGTAGGTATTTGTGGTAGTATTTACTGCAGGTAGGCTAATCAAAAAGGCTTAAAGCGGGCGTTATTGTAGTTTATCAATAGTGAAGTATCAATACTGCCTAAATAACATAGGTAGGATGTTTTAACAAATTGTAACTTAAAACTTTTTATCTCAAATTTACAAATCCCAAGATAGGATTTATATGATAGTCGGCCGTTTGGTGTAAAGTCTGGTCGTCGAGCACGTAAAATTTCGTCTAATGACCCCAAGCAGTGTGTGTGCGAGCGCGACAGTAATATAATTACGCGCGAGCGATAAGGATGGGTAGCTTGGGGTCATTGGACGAAATTCTACGTGCTCGGCGACCGGACTATAGTGGTTCAGAACGGACTACTATGCCGAGAGGTCCCGGGTTCGATTCCCGGCTGGGCAGAAATTGAAATGATGAATTTTAATTTCTGTGACGGGTCTGGGTGTTGCTATGTATAATATGTTTGTCTTTACAAAAAAAAGTATTTAAGTATGTTTATATCCGTCGTCTTGTACCCATAGCTTTGCTTAGTTTGGGACTAGAGGCGCAGTGTAAAATGTCCAAGGATATTTATTTATTTATCTACAAATATTACGGCTATATTTTGGTGACGTTATTTACCTGTCAGTGGAATGTTCGGATCCTTTGCGCGTGCGCCGATTGCGGCGCGCTCCACCGGTGGCATCATCTGAGCTTGACGTATTCACTTCGGGGCCGAACTTCTCTCCGTAAATCTACAAATACACCATTAATGTTACCTTACAAATGAAAATGATACTTAAAATGTCAACTTAGAATTGAAAATTAATGGTTCTACCTTGTGAACAGACTTCATAAGTCTGATGCAAGCTCTCATGTTGCGTCGGAAACAGTACGGGTGACAGAAGTTTTGGTGGCAGCATACGTAGTTGAAGGAGTTCAAGAATTTCACTATCACCTGGAACATTCGTGACGTGATATCGTTGAATTTGGAGAAGCATCGTATATTACGCTTAAATGCTTGAACACAAGGATCAGTTTACCTTGAGCCAAGGGAATCCCTTGCTATTGTCGGGAGGATCAGTAGAATTGCTGTCCGGACTATCTGGAGGATGATCGTGGTCGTCAGATAAGACTCCTGGACTCTCCTCGCCTCCGCTGTCTACCTCACCAGGCATTATCACTGTCCCACCTATTGTCAAACATCATACACCGTTTGTGATCAATATCCACTCTATTTACAATGGAATAAGACTCCATTCTGCGTAATAATACACTCACCCGTGGCTGGATACACTTCGGACGTGTCGCTTCTGTCTGAAAGTGAAGAAACTTTTCTTCTACTCTGTATAGAATCTGATCTTCGATTCAAAACTGAAACAAGCACGTTGCATCGTGCAACAAAATGTAAAAATAGCTTTTCAGAATTTTCAGCTTATTTGAATTTTGAATAGAATTTTTTCGAACCAGTAACCTTATAATATTGGCTAATTGTTTTGTACAGTCAGCTTCAGCGATCAAATTAACTGAGAGAAATAAAGCTGTGTGAATCAGATGTGGTGATAAAGTTATATTGACTGACTGTTCATTTAAAGACTAAAATACTGATTCGAAATACTAATCCGAATTGTTAGCAGCCAATAATTTATATAATATTTGCTTACAGTCATCAACGTCCCTGGTATCCTTCTGCCGCAGTTTGATTGAACGTCTCTTGATGGAGCCATAAGCAGAATGCGTCTGCTGCGTGTTTCGTCGATGCATGCACGCTTTGCCTCGAGAACCGAGACGGCCTTTTTTCTCATCCACCGCTGGAGGGATGGCATCGGCTAACTGTTGAAGAAGTGTATTAGGTACAGCAATAGCAGATCAATCTATTAAAATCTGACTTTTCATCTGTTTTGATCCTTACATTGGAGTCAAAGTTTCTAATCTTATACTTTACCTACACTACTCAGAATGTTGTCGAATTTTGAAAGAATTGAAGTAGGATATTGTAGACACGCACTTCACTTCGACTTGCTTTGTCCGAATTCAGTTAATTGTCGGTTTGCGCCCGATTCAAAGAGCCCGAAACGACTCGAAGTTTGAACGTGAAGTATCTGACTTATACTCGGGTTAAGCTTCTGTACTTTGTGGAAACATCAAAGCGAGTAGTGTAGCTGAGGTAATAAGTTTTTGCTAAGTTTATTTGTCATAATTGACTAAAAAATTTGAGATTAAATACTTGCAGCTAAATATGATTATCATGTTGTATGTACTTACTGTAACGTTGCTTCCCCCAGAAACATTTTCAGGTTCGTGCAGAACAAAAGATATCTTTCTCTCAGTCTCTGCTCCCGCTATGGACTGAAGACTCTGGGCCGAAGCTTGCGAGTGACCCATGCTTGACAGAGCCATACTCCAACGACGATTAGCCTCCCTGTCCCACACAGAATACATACATAAATACCTTCAAACCACAAACAAATGTCTCTATGGTTCTTCTTTAGCTATAGTTTAGTAGCTCTATTTTTTATCTATTTAAACCTCTTTGATTTCGTTATTCCGCATGCCAATGTAGCAAAGCAATTTATATACTTCGATATACTAATTTTCATCTAAACTATTGCACTTAACTATTGGAAATCGATACCTTAAAGGGTGTTTGAATAAAAATTATTTTAATATTTGTGTCAGTAATTATTTGTTTATCTTTAGTCGTGTTTAGCAAAGTTACGTGGGTATTTTACAACATACCATGCAGTTTAGGTAGCCGTTAGCTCGTTTTAGGTACTCTTAGGTTATCTTTATAATGTGAGAATAATACGGGCGCTTGCGTAGCCACTTCAGGTGTCGCTATCAGGGGGACAGCTATTTGTGAATGTCTAATCTCCATGAGGCGAAAAATTTTATTTACAAATGATCATCATGACAAAAACAAAGACATCCGTAAATAGCTACGTTTGCGTAGGCCCCTAAGTGCCAAATATTGTCGATAGGTGAAAAAAATCTAAGTAGACCCGAGTCTTCGTGTGCTCTGCACTTAGTTTTAAAGGTGTACATTATTCAACTTATGTACAGTCTATTTACGCATGCACGCTTAGTGCTGTATGCAAGGAAACATGCATTATTTCTTTTGAACACATACTCGACTGGCATTAATGTGTGTTGACTGCTAAGAGCCCTGTTAAAATAAAAGTTTCATCAAATATATGCACTCTTTAACACATCATTTCAAAACGGAACATAATGAACTCACTTAGTCTTACACAAAAAACGTCGTTTTTCCATCCATCTTCGCACAACATAATAATAAAACATAATCAATTTACACCCAATTAGAATTACTTACCAAACAAATCTTCATGCAATTCAATGTGATATCGTACCTGTATACTCTGTCCCAAGGTCCTCTTTCCTTTAACGACGAGCGGCATGACTTTGGTAAATTTTGGTATGTTTCTCGCAAGAAAGCGGTTACTTCGAATAAAAGAACGCAGGCGACTAGTCTTAGAGCTCGAGGGCAATCGGCTCCAATAGGTTTTCCAGGCAGACGAATGCTTGCTGTAAAATCACAAACAAAATTATCCCTTGTTTACATAGTGATAAATTCCTTTTTGTTTCCGAGTTATATTTCTACCTTCGTCAAGGAAATCCTCTTCTTCATCTTGCTGCAAGAGCTCTCGCTGTCCATCGGGATCAGTCACCAGAGTAGTAACATTTTCTAGGTGTTTCTTATCTTCAACCAACATCTCTTCGAGTCTGTTGCCTATAGCCTGTGATATATGATACAAATATATAAAATTATCTTTATTGACCACGAAATAACGTTAACAATACAATAATCATAATTTTGATTTTAAAAGAAGAAAAACAAACTTACCTCGGCCCATTGGTAGAATAGTTTTCCGGCAAGACGTCTTCTAAGTTGTGGACTGGAAGATACTGGAGAAAAAAATACATAACTTTATTTAAATTTTTATAACTTAAATAAAATGTTTGTATTAGGTAACATTAACGTGATATCTTACCGGTATTCTTAGCAATATTCGATTTTAGCCAATAAGGCCACTGGCCCTTGTTGCAGTTATGGACTAGGTGGGCACATTCCAATATTATAGCAGCTCTTCCAACAACGACAGTGTGAGGCTGAAATACAACCAGCATCAATTTAAAACAATCTGCCAGCCAAAATTCTAATAGTTTAATTCATAGGACCACTCCCACTCTTCACGTGAATGTTGTAAGAGGCAACTAATCGTTTGGCCAGCGCGTGGAGTTTTAGGCTGTATCCTCTTTTTTTCTCTGGTAAATTAGAAAGGGTCAGCCTTCTTCAGAGACTAGAATGAAGGTCACTTACCAAATCCAACAAAGCTGCCATAAACAAAGCGTCAGGAGTGCCACCAGGCTGCGTAGCGTCCAACAAGAAGTTGAACCTGGCCAATCCAGCATATAAAGGCGCCGCAGCCACCAGTCGTCTACGTTTTAGCACCACCACCTCGGATTCTCCACCCCCTGAACCGCCTTCCGCTGAACCACGCCTTGACATGTCTAGAAATAGCAATGTAATTGTTTTAACGCAATCAATAAAGGCATGAACTGTCGACAGAAAATTTGATGCCACACTTTAGTTGCAAAATCGCAAATAATATTAAGGTATATCAGCATAGCTGGGCATTAACTCGTTAATCCGTTAATCGTTAATTAACGAAGTTAACATTTCCATTAACGGATTAACTTTTAAGTTAACTTTAAAAAATGTTAACGGACTCGTTAACTTCCGTTAAATTATCCTAAGTCCGTTAATCGTTAATCCAGTACCTACTATTTACCAAAAAGATACAGCAAGCCCGCTGAAAAACACTAGAAAAACGCGTTCTGACAAGTACGTTCGGGGTTCCAGAACTTCCAGAACCCAAAACAACAGTTTTTGTAACCAGAAAGAAACGATATAAAAATGCTATTTTTTTATTTATTTACAAGCTTATACAGGGTAGAATTATGTAATGCCACCTGGAGGGAAAGTATTCTTAATACTGCAGACGGAAAATTTTACTGAAAGAAAACATTCCTTTATTTTTGAAAAGAAAGAGAACTGCATAATTAAAATCATTTAAGATTTTATGGATCCTTTCGTTTGATTTATCAAGTTTGTTAGAGAGATTTCATCCTTACACTTGACCCTAACGATCGATGCAATAAAAATACAGGGTGTAATTTTTAACAGATTTTAGTTGGTTCGATTCCCGGATGTGGCAAATATTTTTTTGAAATCTTTGAATGCTATTTGTTTTCAAAAATAAAGGAATGTATTTTTGATTTTTTTTTCTATCTACATCCTGTATATTGACTTCACTTGTTAGTATGTGGGGGACATATCTTGCAACTGAATTTAAGGCCAATTCTCCTCAACCGATTGAGCTACAATTTGGTATACTTATGTAAGTACGATGAAAATGCAATGCTGTGGTACCATTGAGCTGGTCTAATGATGGAGTCAGGAGGCGGCCATAGGAACTCCTAAATGAAACGGCGGAATCGCATCGAATTTGGGTTTGTTGGATTTGTCTTTTCGAGCACATTGGTGCTAAATTGTATTGTAATTGAACCAAGGCTCTGAGATTGAGATACTATAGACTAAGAGCTGGTGAACGCCAGACCAACGTCATATTATAAAAGCTGAAAGTTTGTCAGCGTATGCTCCCAATATAGGTTAGAATGTTGGTGGATTATGAAGTTTGGGTCATCGTGGCTTTGGCAGCTATCCTAAAAAAACTGTCTGGCAAGGAGTTGGAACTGTCAAAACGGTCTGGCTAAAAAGAGGAATGAATTCCATGCGCGATACAAGCTTTCGAAATTATTTGAACCTTGTATACAATAATGTTTTTCGTTTTATTTTAATGTGTTAACGGATTAACGATTAACGTTAACTTGCGTTAAATCTTGCTGAATGTAACGTTTTAACGTTTAACGAAGTTAATTTTTTTATTAACGGTTTAACGATTAACGAAGTTAACTATTTGATTAACGGTGCCCAGCTATGTATATCAGTGTTTATCTTGATGTGCTGTTGTCAATACGTTCTTACTTTACATAGTGAACAGTAACATTATAGTTCGCTCTTTCTATCTATGTGTGTAATAACGTTATGTGTAGTTTAAATAAATACTTACATCCACCGCTTGTCTCTTCAATGCTTCCGTCACGTTTCTTGCACATTTTTCTCAAACCGAATCTGTTGAGTCTATCTTCAACCCTTTTTCTAGCCCTGTGAATTGACCATTTAACTTTAATATACTATAGCAGCAACTACCGCCGTTTTGGGAAGTGATATCTAAGTAGGAGTGGAAGTCAAAATGTAAGCAGTAGAGAGAGAGATATCATATTCTCGGAAATTAGCAAACAATTCGCCAGATCCTTTATTATTAGTGATCAGTGACGTCACTGGTCCAAGCCTTACCTATTGAGCGTATATCCAACGCGTCGTTTTACGTGCACAGGACGGCTTGAGTGTGGTTGCGTGACGTGTGGTGGACGTGCGAGTGATATCATACTCCCAGAGATTGGCAACGACTCGCCCGAACCACCGCCGTTGCGGATCAAAGATTGCGATTGTTGTGGCTTTTGGCGGAACCAATTTACTGAAATAAATAGGAGTGTGTTAGTTTTGCTGATAATGTTTGAATGGATCGCTAAAGGTAATACAAGCCGACAGCAGTTTAATTATACATTTTTGCTACAAATATCATCTTAAATCTACTTAAAATGTCACGGTATTTAGCTTGCATAGCTGCGTGGCTATGTGACTATCATGCCAGTAATTATATTAATAGCTCTCTTATGAATCACAAATAGTCAAAAAGTAAAGTTAAATGCTCTACAAATAATAAGGGTACTATTTATTTGCGTAAACATTTCTTTTACCATACTTCTATAGTCTTTTTCACGTAAGATGATTCGTATGACGTTTCGAGTTTGAAAGTTATTAGAGATGTCACATAACTAAACCATAGCGATTTATCTATCGATTTTTTTCTAAGAGTTAGTAAAACCTACTTTTAGAGAAATATTTTGTATAGGTGTCTTTTAACAAAAAACATGTTTTTTTTTATTACAAATATTTTTGTAACAATTTTTATTGATAATATTAAAATTCCAAGGACTTCGTGTTAAAAAAAACGATTCCTAAAAAGTACTGGTTCTATTACTTTAAATTAAAAACTATTTATTTATTTTCAATGCGTTTATTAAAGTCAACAATCGAAAAATATAGTTGATTTTTGTGATGTTTTTAATAACTAAGTATTCACTGCAATCGATTAATGAACCGCGGAAATAATCGATTTTGTTAAACAACAAATACCCCAGCACTACATCTATTCCGTTTCACACATTGCGTACATTAAATAAAAAATATTTTTACATCGTATTTAATTAAAATATTAATCAATAGACTCAGATTTTAGTATATATTTCAAGAAAAGTAGTTAATTTTTTTTTATTATATTGCTAATAAAATACAAATATTTTTTCAAAAATATTCTGCATATGTAGTATGCGTAATATGGATAACCTTGAAGTGTCATACGGATCATCTTAGGTGAAAAAGACTATAGTTACTAATTTTGTCAAAGTATCATATCAGGCGCCTAAAACAGCTCAAAACCTTGATACTGACTATCCAAAAAAGCAACATACTTAAAAAATACGATCTACTTACCAATGCCACTGATATGGAACTTGGAAGGTATAGATTTCGAGTGCGATATCTTATGATGGGGCGTGATATCCGCAGACGAAGCGGAGGGTATCGTCCGCTCCGACTGTCTCGGCGTCAGCTGGTAGCGGCGCGTGCGCACGGATAGCGGAGATTGGCTAGCGGACTCATCTCCGCCGTCCGTTTCGAGCAGGCTCTGAAACAATAAGAAGGCGGACTACGGATTAATAAGCTTAATATTCAGGGGTTATTTTATTTCAATGTATTTTTAATTGATTACATTTTCAGTCATGCGACACATAATTATGTCATAGGGATATTAGTAATGTTCACGAAAAATTGCAAGTTACATATTTTCTTCTTTATTTTATAAGTTTTCTTTGTTATAATTACAAAAAGGTCTTTAAATAACTCTCAGGGTAAAATACACTTGGAATAAAAAACAAATGACATTCTGGGTAGTTTCTATCTAAGGGCCTTGCCACACTGGCGGATTGTAAGCGTTTTCTGGGCGGAGCAGCTGCGTGCGGCATTTTGCAAGCACTTTTGCAATCCGCCAGTGTGGCAAGGCCCTAAGAAAGAAGTTTAAAAACAAATGACTCTCAGGTCCCTATCTGAATGAACATAAGCATCACTTGTAAATTCCACTTACATGTGCACCGGTGGAAGAAGTGCTTCGCTTCTTGAACGTGAACTTCTTGTTGTGGCTTCGGTCGTCCGCGGCGCATCCCGAATCCGCCCCTGTATCCGAACCGCGTTCATCGTCGGCTGGTCGTGGAATATGTCTGTGGTAAATAAGGAAATAATAAATAACGGATGTAATAAACCTTTTACGAAGCTGAGTACGACGTTAGTAGTATTTTAACTATCATTTTTTTTCTCCGCTAGACTTTTGGTATTGGAGATGTTAAAGGTCGAATTCAAAAATACAATACTAGTTTTTTACGAAAAAAAAGTTTTGAAACGGTGATAAGAATTTTTTATCTGAAATAATATACCACACATACATGCATTTATGGAGCGGTATACATTGCGTGTTACAGAAATTAATATTTTTACCATATAATAACAGTTATTTTCCTGGGGAAATAATTTGGTTGAATGTGCAGAATGCAAGTGTAAGGCTACACAAATTTTTTACAACTTGTATAGCAACTACAAGATAAGTGTAAGCAATAACAAACCTTATGACCCTTGTAGTCTGCATATTCGACTCTTTTTGCTGGCTGTCGGGTCTTTCAGCTGTGTCCAGTAGCCCGCTGAAAGCCACCACTCTGAATATGCCACCGTGAGCTTCGCGCACGTAGCTTAGAAGGAGGCGCACTTCCATGTATAATTTCTGAAAATACAATTAAAGCAAGGGAAATTATATTTGAATGAAATCATAGACTCATAAAATAGCAGACAGACATAGATGGCATTAAATATTATTAGAACTTTTTGTTTTTCTACGTAATTTGACAGAGAAAGTGACAAGTCCACTTTAGCAGAAAGTGACAAAACATTAATTGGAATATACGATGAAATAGTCAATGGCATGTTTTATTTTTTTATGAATAAGGTAGTCTCCTTCAATTCCTTAAATGGCTCAATGGGAATTCAGTGGAAATGCATTTTTACAGGTTTTAACTGCTAGGAAAAGTTATCGTAATTGGAGTAGTAGGGCTCACTCTTTTCGTCTTAACCCTCCGTGTACGAGGTGACTAAAAGTTACGTCCCGTACCAGGTGGGGTATGACACACCCCAATATACAAAGTGATAAAATTTTCATTCAACATTGTTTTAGGTGGAATTTAATATTGATTATTTACGTATGCTAATTAGGTTTAAGAAATGCTCTGAGCTGAAAATATGTATTATAACATTTTTATCATAAAAAAACAAAAAGACACAATTTCCGTTGTTCTTGTAATTTAGGAATCAGTTTCCTATGTATAATTTTTAATAAGTGCCTTTAATTATGACAACCGTTTTTATTTAACAAAGTACAAGTATTTACTTATAATTTAAAAGTAAATTAAAAACTGGAAGGGTATAAATTTGTTTTGATCATCGGTTTTCAATTTACCACAATTCTGATGAAAGAAAATGAGTATGCTCAATGCATAAAATCAGGGTTCGAAAATATCCGATATTTATTATAAATATCAAAATATCGGATATTTATGATATATATCCGATATATATCAACTTTGATATATATCAATTTTGTATGAAAGCCATAGTATTATTTTATTGTATTATTCATGAATAATATTGCATATGTGTTACATAAACATGTTTTTAATGTTTTTAAACTTAAAATCAGACAAATAAAGCAAAAACATAAAATATTCTTTTAAATACGGCAAAATCAACTAAAAAAATCAAAATCTTATGTCAAAAAGTACAAATACAGTAACAAATTTTAAAAGTTGATATACAGGGTGTTTGGCGCATCGTGTGCCAAAATGATTTGGCGTATAGAATGGGTCATTTCCTATATTTTCAGCCCCCATAACACGTTCCATGCCAGGCGGCTACTTTTATATTATTTTTTTTAATAATTTCACCAAAATACCCANGGAATGTGTCTGCATACGACAACAGTCGAAATTAGTATACGTAGCCGAGGCGGTCATTTTGAACAAAATTTGTAATAATTAATAAACGATCAAAATAATTATTTTCGTCTATAATTTCAAGAAATCCACATTGAAAAACGATAGGGAAAAGGTTTTTACATTGCTTCAGATAAATAATTTTTACCTGTTAGGTGTTTAACGTGCTATTCACACAAAAAGGGGCTATAAACACAAATTTCGCAAATCAATCCGAGTAGAGTCAATGCACTAATTTAAGTAATTTGTGAAGTTGTTGTTATTATTTAAACAATATTAATATACCGTTTGAATGGGGAGAGACTGGAGAAGTTTTGATAAAATCCGAAGATCGCTATCTCTTTTAAAAAAAAATTTATAGCCATGTAAACTTAAATGTTCAGTCCATTTTTAACTTTTCGGAAAACTTCAAAGCTGAATTTAAAAAAAACTAGATGATATTTGCCAGTAAATTTAGATTTGATGTAACCCTACATCAATGCACGTCAAAACAAAATATTTACTTTGAGGCTACGCCTAGTAGTTTCTTTTTAAATCGAAATTAAATGATGCGATTTGGGTATTTTGGTGAAATTACTAAAAAAATTAATTTAAATGTAGCCGCCTGGCATAGAACGTGTTATGGGGGCTGAAAATATAGGAAATGACCCATTCTATTCGCCAAATCATTTTGGCACACGATGCGCCAAACACCCTGTATATCATCAAAACCGGCTTGATATATATCGGATATATATCCGATATATATCTTGATATATATCCTCGAACCCTGCATAAAATGGGAGCGTAATAATTTTATTTATTTATAAAATATGTTATTCCATTTCAGTAGCCCATAAATTGTATCACCAAGTATAAATTGTAGCCCATAAGTGTATGTTTACATACATCTTCGGATCTCAGTACTAAACTTCCAGATTCGCACTAAAAGTCATCTCTTTGACTAAAAGTGCTTGAAAATTTCAGATACCGTAAAAATCACGAAAAACATTATTTGTATTGAATTTTATTCAACTGACAAAGCTAAAAATATATAAATTACACCAAAACTGTCAGATTTTTTTTTAAACTTTTTAACAACGTCCCGTTCCAGGTGGGGTGTGTGACACCCACACGCACTTTAAAGGCATGTAACTCAGTTGGTAGTCACCGCTGGACTGATTTTGCAACGCTGATCGAAGCAGCAGTGTCATAATTCCAGCTACTGAGAATTTCAAATACAGCACTTGCAAATTTTTAAAATTGTGGCTATTTTTAAAGGACTGGGGTGTGTCACACCCCACCTCGTACAGCGAGGGTTAAAACTCATCAGAGGGACATTAGACAGGTATGTATATTTAAAAAAATATTGCACTTACTGAGTTATCCAGCATCTTCAGCTCCTTATGCATAAGGGCGAATCTGGTAACAAGCACTCGAAAAGTGGACTCTATAATAAACGTCTCTATGACTCTATTTGCATTGGCACATTGGGCGGCACCAAAGTTACTTGCGTAGGCGGATTGTAGGTGGCTGATTTCTGGAGATTTGGTGCTCCGTTTTTGCTGACCTATGATTGATAAAATAAGGTTCATTATCATTTGTACATCACTAAGGCCCATTTTCTGAAACGTCGTTCAAGTAAATAATTACACGTTTCTAAACATGGCCCCAAGCACTGGCCCATTTATTGTCCCAAAGCAGTGCCAGGATTAACGTAATACCGGGACGTGTAAAAGCATTTTATAAAAGCCTTTTGACTTTTGTAGGCAGTCCAACCAACTTAAATGATTTGTTTTTTCTAATTTTATACTAACTAAATTTTCTTTGTAGATTGTATAAATAATGGCCAAAGTTATAGTTGCAAAAGGAGACTGGTAGAAAAGATACTTACTCATAGGCGACACCAATGTCGAAGGCTCAACACAGAATCCAACCGTAGCATGTAAATTGTCAAGCACCTCTCTAATGGGTGCGTATTTAGTCATCTCCTTCAAACGCATCGTAAACTTGGGGATGGCTTCGGAACGCAACTGACGTAGGGAGTTCCTTGCTTGCACCCTGAGGCACTCTGCTTGGGGCCCTCGGAGAGCTGTCATGCAGCCGTGAGAACAGCCGAGTTGGCGAAGCAGTCTATAACAAAGAGATTACATTCAAAAAGAGATTACATTCAAAAAGAGATCCTATAATAGTATTTTTAAGGTTCTGTAGAAGTATTTACTCTAATGAAGTCTGTCTGTAAGTAAGAACATTCTCTCAGTAAAGAGATGGATATTCTTGAGAATTAAAACGATGTCGACATCAAACAACCAATTCGAGGTTTGGTAGTTGGATCTGCGTTATTAATGTGTGCACTACCAATAAATTGGGATTAAGAGGTTACTGCTCTCACCTATTGTCTGATGAAGTAATTATTATAACATTTGCTAGTAGATTTGATAGTGACATACCTAAGTATAATGTGCATGATCATGTAGTAAGGACAATCGAGGTTTTCTTCATCTTTAGCCTTCTCTTTTGTGCTGTCGCAACCATCTATGTTAGTGTTATTGGAATCTTGACTTTGTGCACAGGGGAGTCCTGAATCTCTTTCCTAAAATTAAATCCAATTAAAAGTTACAAGGCATATGAGTGAAAACAATTAATTTACTGGATAAGACAAAATATTACAGGTACCTTATTCTCTTTTTCCTTGCTAAAATCAATCAGAGGATCGGGTGTTGGTTGTATTTCTTCTACTTGGTTATTCTGCCAGTTCTTGTGAACGCCAATCTCCATAAGTGTATCCACCAAGTTCAGCATAACTTCCATAACCCGTAAGGTGATGTAGAAGCTATCCATGGTGGATACTGAGTAGACTGCCTATGGAAAAAAGTATCATAATGTCTTGACTTTATATTCGAAGTTTGAATGACACATTTATTGAGACATCAAGATGTTTTGGCATACCTTAAGAACAACCTGGAAGTCAATATCTCCATCTTTGGTGATATAGTGCAAGGACCCTGGAGCCTCTTGTATTTCTTCAACCACGTAGGTGATGTTTGAATCAGTCTGAGATCGCGACAAACTGGGTTTCCTTTCCGGCGTTGGAATATGTTGAGATCCTTGCATGCTCACTGAATCTATTTGTGATTCTAGAGAGCCCTGAAAATGTGTATTTTAGATATCTAATAGATCATGCAAAAAATAAATAGTAATTGAATATGATTAGAAATTGTGCAGGCACCAATGGGCAAAACCAACTGTACACTTAAAATTGACTCTAAAAATTAAGAAGCTAGAAGATACTTTAGCACTGCTAAGAGATTAAAGATCATACTTGTCTTGTCTTAGAGAGATAATCCGGCGATGGTGTAGGTGTGTGTTCTGTGACCGTTATAATAGGGTTGTTTTTCTTTTGCAAGTTGCAAGGCATTGTGTGAGACGGACCGTGTGCTCTCTCTGTCTTCACCTCCCCGATGTACCTGAAATACACTAGTGTGAGTACCGATACATTCTTGAAATGATATCGGTGATCCACAATATTGAACCTTATACACTGGTGTTAGTGCTGGTGGGTGAATTAGGTTCACTAGTGGAAATAAATTGTTAGTGATTGTTGAATTCTATGGAATGTAAGTGATGTGTATTCTGTGAATGATTATTGTATCAATTTATAATCTAGTATTGAACTGAATTTGGAATACTAGTTAAAAGTTGTTTCATTTTCAATTTATTAATTTGCTGCCATGCAAAAAGTTATTCAGTTTTCAATTTAAAATATGGATATAAAACACTCTTTACCTCTAATTTTGATGATGACAATTAAATTAGAGATTTTATAAGCTTTTTCAAATGTATTTTGCAGTGGGTACTGCTAACATCTTAGAGCACACAATGATGTTTTTTGCAGATGTTGGATTGAGTTATTTATTATGAGTTCTAGAGTTGAAGATAAAATTACGTAAGGGAAACACGCCTGATATCATGAATAAAAGGGATATTCAAATAATTTAAAGAGTGTTTTATGACCAATATTTACTATGCCATGCTCAATAAACAGGATGATGAGTACAATGTCACGTTCACTTTGACTGGCATAATATAATTTAAATGAATCAATAAATATTATAGCACTAGTTGTACGATTTCAGCTCAAGCGTTGCATATAAGTTTTCTGCATTTAACTTGTCAATCTACTTCGATGTTCTAATTGCTTGTAATAATAATAGTTTATGTGTGAGATGATTTGCGTAAGAATGCGTGCAACCAATCCATGTGGAGATTGTTTGTGTCTGAAAAAAGCAGTGTTGAGTGCTTATTGTTATCAAAGTGATGTTTATTCCAAACCAAGCTGTACCTACATTGCCTTACTGAACCCGCTATCAATAGAAAACCGAACTAAAACTATTCTAAATCAACAAATGCCTATGCGATACCGTTGTGGTAGTTTGCCTAGCAATGCTTGCAACTAATTTACGAAGCATCTAATTCGTCGGAATACTTGGCGCACTTACCCATTCGAGGCTAGCTCATCAATCAGACAGCTAGCGACCATTTTGTTCATCCAATACAATAGTGTACGGGTTTAAGCGTTATTAAGACGGGAGAAAGAGAAAAATACAATTTTTAAAATAGGAAATATCACCCAATGTGTAATAAAGAAACCATGCTGTGCTTTTATAGAAACATAAAAGTAATGAAAAATAAAAAGACCAGTAATCACCTGTGATTAATTTTAAATTTTGAAGGGAAAAGTACATTAACTAAATACTCTACGAGTATTGTTTGGCTAAGCTTAAAACGCTTAACTATGGCTAAGTTTTATATTCCTAGAAAATATAATCGCTGTTACTGAGTCGAAAAAAGAGACGTGAACTTCAAAATACTTAGCTATAAATAGGATAGGTAAAATTAGTAACTAAGTATGTAAATATGTAAAAAAATCTTAAAAACTAAGTATTTAGTACACACCTCAGACTCGGCATACTTTTCCCTTTGATCAGATTGCACTGAAATAAATCGCCAGTTAGTCTAGGGGCAAAAGTTGGGAAGTTGCTTGAAAGTGCAGAGTTTGGTCTATCATCAGCATGATCAAGACTTCTATGATACTCCTAAAACAATAGGAAGAGTCAAGAGAAGAAATTCAGTAGAAACAAACAAATAACTACAAGGTGAAAGGAAGGAAGAATATCTACAGATATCATTCTTACTGCAGTGTGAAACGTGAACTTGTGGTCTTCCTGCCCAATTTTTTCCAGTGCCTTATCCGATTTCGATAGCAGTTTTGTTTCAACGAACGCTTTGAGGTCGGCCATTTTCATTTTGCGTTTAATTTTCTCGCTAGATCGTCTACTCATTACAGTTTCTTCTTCAACTTTAGGGGAAACTGGAAACGGTAGTTCTGTGACTGGCGACATGTCTTTGATTTCAGGCACTTCCATGAAGTTTTTCAAAGAGTCGCGCTCTTTTATGTCTGGACTTTGGTACACTGAAACTTCGATCTTAGGAATAGGTAAAGAGTTACTTCTTTTCCTTGGCTGTGTTTGTTTAGACATATCATCACAAATATCACGTAACCTAGAAATGTAAAAAGTCAAGTTTACGAGAAAAGTCGGTGAAATATTTCATAGTGAGTTTATCTTTTATTAATTTTTTTTGGCCAATAATACCTGTTGTACAGATAGTGAAGTGCCCAATATACACCTTCTTCTTGCCACTGAGAAGTGAATAAACACCGTAAAGTCGCAACATCTAGAAAAGTAGCGGCAGATACCTGAAAACAAACAGATTAAACACTAACACAATGCAAATGAGTTTAATTTACTTTAAATTAATATTTATGTCAAAAATCTTACATGAACTTGTTTAGACATGGGCTTCTCTGTTGTTGGTATTCCTTTTTGTTGCCCTATACCAGCACTATCTGATAGAGATTCCTTATCTGATGAACTGAAAAAGATATTATCTTCAAATTAAATGTCTTTTTATCCGACTGTGGCAGAAGGAGGGTTGAGGGTAGAAGGGTTATTTTCAACCCTAGAAGGTTTTTTCTTTAAACACTTCTGTATAATTAAGCATATTGTTATATTATATTATTTATTATGTGTTAGCTATTTATTTACCTCATTTTAGTCACAGGAGGCAATGGTTTGATACCAGGTAGACCTGGTTTTGAAGGATCAGATTTGCGAAGCTGGAATAGGCTTGGGTCAGCAGCATACACTGTGTAAGTTTCTTTGACAGCACCACCATAGTTTTGTTCGGATGGCAGGCGATAAATAAACTGAAAAGAAGAATAATTTTACAAGTCATGTAATAAGTATGCATAAAAGTATCAAACAGTGGAAATATTTGATTAGAGAATAAAATGAACTTACAACATGCTCCTCTTCTGTACTAGAACTCTCTTCTGGTATAGTTTCTGGAAAGATTGTGTCCTTTGGAGAAGAAAGCCAGGGCTCTTCTTCAGTGCTTGGCTGTTTGGAAGGTGCCTCTGACTGCGACACTGATACATTTTGACTTGGTGGACTACCATTGACCGTACCCTCTTCCTTCGAGAATTTGCCTTAAACATTTTATGTATATTGTAACATTACAATTACTTGAACATTATCAATTAGGAGTGACATAAAAGCGTTCAAAAGCAGGAAACTAGTAGCAAAATGTGTAAGTATACATAATAAATGTCATAATGTTTTATTATGTATACTTGAAGCGCACTGAAAGATCAAGGCTGGCTAGATAAGAGAAATTTCAGTGGAAAATATAAGGGAAATAATAAATAAACATACGCCCCATAAACACGTCCCCATGCTGATTTCGCTTAGAAAATTTCCCACCCAAAGGTTTCGGTTTGGGCTTGACCAGGGTCGAGAAGCACGGTGCATCGGGATGCCGGAATTCCCACATCGCTTGCCACAACTTCAGGCCATTCTCTAATCGGTAGTTGTTGGTGAAATCAGATTCCTTTAGGTGTTGAGATATTGGTGCAAAGAGGAATACAAAAAGCTGGAATTTAAAACAATACAAATTAACAAACAAAATATGTTGCATATTTAAAGGCTAAATAATATTGATTTTATTACGTACTGTTATAGAAGGTACTGAGAAAAGGTAATGGAAAGGGTTTGAATAGAATACTCCATTCTCATAGTCATTGTCAGCACATTCGTCTGAGGCGTCAAGGAGGATCCAATGTAATGTGTACAGGAGGGTAGTTTCCACATTTCCCAGGGACTGCATGTTGTCTTTGACCCTGTAATATTAAGCAATAAAAGTTTATGAAAGAATAATTTGAAAGGATAATTTCAAGCCCCGTGAATCGAGACACAATAGTTAATCAACTGTCGCGGTTATATGCAACCGCCTGGGGGTTGATGCGACATAGTGTCGTTTACGTCATAAAAGTTTAAAAAATATCTGTTTGACTGAATAATGTGTAAAAAGTATCAAATACCTGTTGTGTAAGAGTGCTGCCAGAGAGTGCATTACATGAGGAAATGCAGCTTGAATCAGGCGCCATCGTGGAATAGCTTCTATTGCTTCCGATTCCGTTAAACTAATCGAAAGACCCAACCGAAGATTTTGTACCAAAGCCTTCTCGAACGACTGAAATTTACAAAAATAAGTATCATATATTAGTTACTGAGTTAAAACACTGTTTACAATAGTCAGAACTTATAATATTGCACCTTGTTTCTTACCTTTGCAGCTTGTTTTATTTCCTATGTGAGCATAAAAGAAAACCAGATTTAAAATGTGTTTAAATTAACAAAGTAGATACGAAAAATCCTTGCAGCAACATTTGTTTGTTTACTAAATTTTGACAATAAACAACATGTGACACTGACGTTGACATACAATGCTACCAACTTAAGAGTAAAATTGGCCTAAGATTCTATAAATAGAGTGAGCTTCCTTTCTACGTCACAGTAAAGATTTGAAGTTGATTGATTTTCTAAACTCATGAAACTTCTTCTAAAATAAGCCCCACAGAATAAATTTTATATAGCCTGACCAGGAACATAAAAACCCTGGCATAGAGGCGCGTCAATTGCATTTGATAGTGCAACACTGAGTACAGTCGTACCTGTGTTAAATTAATAGGCTAACTTTATGCAGTGGCGGCGTAGCATGGAAATACTTTAACACATTGTGAACCACTTTTCTTTCACGACTATAAAAAGATTTTAGCAATTTAATTCACAAAATCAATTGCACACATTTAAAATAAAGTTTGTTTACACTTTGACAGCAATAGACAGCTTGATTATTGACATGTAAATGAAGTTTTCAGTTACTGTTGCCATTAAAAGAAATTAGTACCATTAGTTTTCCGCAACATGGCGAGGGTTTTTATGTTCCTGGTCAGGCTATACTTATAGCCTGACCAGGAACATAAAAACCCTGGCATAGAGGCGCGTCAATTGCATTTGATAGTGCAACACTGAGTACAGTCGTATCGTACCTGTGTTAAATTAATAGACTAACTTTATGTATCAGGATTCAGGATTAGGGCTAATTTGATATTTTCATAAATTAACGAAAACATATTATTATAGGTAACTTGGTTTAAATAAATTAAATGAAACCATCAATCGAGCTAGTAGGATTTATTTTATTATTCATCAATAATAAAATTCAGAACTTGAATATTCAACTGCAATGTCTGCTAAGAACGCTTCAAACTCGGTACTTCTTTCCCAATTCCTTAAAATTGAACACTTAAAAAGTGACAAAAAACTTTAAAATAGGTAGTTGAAACAAACCACAGCTAATTTTCATAGTGGACTGTACTATACGATAAACATGTCAGTCAATTTGACAACCTTTGTCGGAAACATTATTCAATGAAAATATTGTCCGAACCCTTAGTATTTCTCTTCGACAAATACTTTAACACATTGTGAACCACTTTTCTTTCACGACTATAAAAAGATTTTAGCAATTTAATTCACAAAATCAATTGCGAACATTTAAAATAAAGTTTGTTTACACTTTGACAGCAATAGACTGATATGCAAGGTGACATGTTAATGAAGTTTTCAGCCCCCCTAGACAAAACGCACTTTTTGATCGAATCGAAAATCGAATCCGTCAAATTCCATACAAAAAAGGGGCTTTTCGACCACTTTTCGACTGGTTTGCGATTATAATGGCACTTTGTCTAGACCCACAGTTATAGATGACCCACGCTGAACTGTCCCGCCAAACTCAATGACAGGGGGGCGCTACCATCGTTCAACTATATGGTTTCCAACATGGCAAAAATCTGAACCAGCGATCCGGTATTGACGGTGGCGCCCCACTGTCAATGTCATCGACAGGACAGTCCAGTATTTTGGAACTATACTGTTGCCATTAAAAGAAATGAGTACCATTAGTTTTCCGCAACATGGCGAGGGTTTTTATGTTCCTGGTCAGGCTATACATAAAGCTTCAACTTATACCATAATGTCCTAAAAATTTTCAGCAATAAAATGCAGTCCCACATGAAAAAATAGCTCGGTACAAATAATATGGGGTACAAACCAAGGGTACAAAAGGGAAAAGGTTTCCCAGAAAGCAGGTCAAGCATGATAGTGATAAAAGTTTCATCGTTTTTCAGATTCATAGAATATCTCCTAGCTAAGTACAGCTGCTGCAGCTAGCAATGGGTGGGTGGGTATTAGCCACACATCGGTGAACGTTGTTTTCTCTTCTCATTCAATCAACAAAGGAAATTATTTTATTTTTAGCTCGTTTAGATTTCAGATGTGTGTTTTTAAGGGGTCACTATTACTACAAATAAATAATACCTATACTTCGAATTATTATGTAGGTGACCATTCAGGACACACCGCGCCGCGGCATTAAGTAAGAGTTTAATTTCTCATTCTACCAGGCGCGGATCCACCGTTGTGGGCACTGTGGGCATGCTCACAACCCTAATTTGCTTGTTTTAATTATGATCTATTGATAAGATCGATAGGCATGTATGTATGTCCGGATTGTCCGGGCATGTAGTGATCCAACTCTCACTTTGCTCATTTTTGGTGGCTGTGCCCAAAACCTTTTTTGAGGGCTGGATCCGCGCCTGCATTCAACCTACCTAGAAGATAACCTTAGGTATTTATTGTGGCCGATTTACGATATCTACACGAGAATAAAAACGAAGGAAAGATCAACCACAAAACCAAAAGCACAGAATGGAAGTCCTGAAAAAAAGGAAGCGGCAATGCGACAAAATAAATCATGCTACGAGCTACCAATCCTAAATTTATTAAAAACGAGAGTATTGTGCTTAAAGTAGTTAATAAAGTGTTAAAAAATTAGTTCATAAACCGCATTTTTACTTAAATTAAAAACAAAGCCTAACTAAGATCTAATTTTATAAAAAACTTCAGCATTCACTAGTGTTCACTAAAAGAAAATCACGGCACGCACCTAATATTTAAAATACTCACATGATGCCCAGGAGCTCGCTGACAGAACTGTATCAACAATTTATTACGTTTTAAGCAATTATAAAAAAAATACAAAAAGATGATTCCCGTACCGGGAATCGAACCCGAGCCTCCTGGGTGAAAGCCAGGTATCCTAGCCACTAGACCATACGGGAGTTGTAGAGACGGTTGAAATTACGATACTGGCTATAGTGTAATTTAGCATTAAAATTTTAATATAAATTAAGAATTATTTTTTTGTTTTGCTTAAATTGTAAAGTTAAGTTTTTCTTTTTATTTCAATGATGGAAAGGGATTGTGGCTTGTATTATAGGATTAATTTATTCATATTTACATTCATTCTTTATTCAACTTGATTTTGGCTATAATTAAGATTGTTATTAGTACTGTTTTATAATAATTAAAATAAGTTACTGACCATGCAATCATCGTCGTGGACTCTGCCAAGCCTGGGCCTGACGAAGGGAGCTGTGAGTCGCCAGAGAAAGATTTGAACCGGGATAGGCACCACGTCATCCAAGTTTGGATCCTCCTCAGAGATTTCCTTCATCTTCATTTTGCTTAGGTACAGTTTGTCTAGAAAATCAATAATAAGTAATTGTAACTTGATGTACGACTTTTTAAAACATTCTTTTCGACAACATTAGGTAGGTATCTACTTTTTAATTTGTCATAAGGTCGAATTCATTTTGAATGCACTGGAACCCAAAATCTTAAGCCGTGTTGAACTGTTGAGTATGAGTAAAAATATGTTATGTCTTATGTTATTTCATTACTTCATTTATTCATTTCATAATAAATTAATTATGTAGGCAGGCTTTAAATAAGACGACAGTAAAGTAGGTGCCTAAGTATTTTGCAATTTTATAATGGAGGACATCAACGTGTTAGTCACTAGGCATTGACATTTTAATAACTTTATAATAAGGAAATAACTTTAAATATAATCATAATCTAAAGATCAATACGATCTTTATCAGCTCTGATACCGTGCCTCATTTTACTTGTAATATGTATGAATTGTTGATGTTAACTGCCATTATGTCATGCAATAGTCCCATGTATTCATCCCAATATGAATGGAAGACAAAATGGATTCCTTGTTCGGAAAAATATTTAAGGAAGATAAAAAAAACTATTACAGTTACATAGATGGACTTTTTCTCCGATATCTCGGAGTATTATCATAATATCACCACTGCAGAAACGTATACAAAACCTATCTACCCTTAGTTTCCGAGTCAAATGGTATTTGCACACACTGTCTCGTTAACCAATCACATAAATTAAAAACTTGCCAATCAAAATTAATACGAAATTCTAACTTCCATTGGAAAGAAATCACTCGCGACTCTATCCAACATTCCATCCCAAAAACAATATAAGGTCGAGTACATACCGATGACCACAGCGGCGAGCGGTAGTCACATGGTGGGTTTGACAGCACAGTCACTGTTTACGCAAGGGTTGCGAGCGCTAGGGCGCGTCGACGGGAGGGAAGCTCGGCCCGGAGTGAGGCTTTGCGCAGCCTGATCCAGACAGGAGCATAGGGATGGTACAAGCAATAAATGTTCCATGTGTTTACGTAATGAAATACATGTTTAGCACCTATTGACGTGGATTTCACTACCTTTTCTGTTTCTTTAGAGAAGATTATATTAGTTATTTTTCTTTTTTGTTCCAAATTATAATTTTTGAATTTAGTAGCATTAAAAAGCTATTACACATAGCTACATTTGCTTATAATTTACATAGAAAATCAATCAATAGTAATAGGCAATAAGTAAAAATAAGGACCTGAATAACTCAATATCCGATAATTTTTCCAGTGAAACTTCGAAAGTTAGCTTGTAATGCAATTCGGTATTTGCCACAGTTTGCCGTCTAATCATGAATGAGAAATTGCGCCCAAATATTTACAGTGATTGAGAAGAACTGTTAGAACGGTTATGGTGGCACCCCTACAGAATTTTCATTGATCTGTGCGCGCAGCGCAGCCTCCGGTTGTTATGGAAACTTCAGCTGCCGTCTGTACAAGAAATCACTAGAAAATTAGGTCGTATTTATTTATGTCGGCGTTTGCGACGTTATGTAAACAAAATATAGATCATTACAGCTTTGTAAATACTTTTAGTGATTGTGTACTTGCATATTGTAAAGCATAACTTTACGCACAATAAATAACTTGATGAACGAATTCATTGTCATTATAAAAATATGTCCTTAAAGATGCATGGGTTTATTACCTACCATATAGGTAGGCTCTATGGTGGGTGTTATGGCTCTAACTTTTAGATTAATTATTCAGAAACGAATTTCTAATATGACAACAATCCCAAACGTATTCGATGTAGCTAAGCTATTAAATCGCCTTTAAATGAAGACTGATGTATCGCTGTCGAAAGAATATGAACTCAACAATACTTCCTACAGTCATCTCTAACATGTAGAAAAAAAATCCATCCATACTAACCAAGCGAAACAGAGGTAGTTGTGTATGTTCCCGTCTAAAAGCTGTTTATTAGCCCAGCTAACGGTGTTGAATTAACTAGATTGGGTTGATATCAATGTTCACTTAGCGGCAATTTATAAATAGAGCGGTGGGAGCGCCCGCACTAAACAGTTAACAGTTGCTACTTTGTAGATTGTTTCTACTGATGTGTGGGCACAATGTCACTCAGTCGATGTTATTTGCTGCATAAAGTTAATTAGTAAAGTTGGATTGAGAAGAGCTGAGATTTAGTGGAATATGTGAAGTTGACACACCGTTCTCTTGAGATACTCAAGAACAAACCTAACGAAATCATTCTCTAACTACACATCTCGATTTTAAATATTGGGGTTACCGAATAGGTAAATAAAGATGGATTTTTCAAAATAAAGGCTTCGCAGTATACAATATAACAAAATATACTAAATATGCCGGCTGACCTCTGGTAAGGATACATGTAGAGCCCTGAGATTGAAGAAAAATATTAATTAGAAAAAAGCTTACAGAAAAGCGATTATTTTATTCAAATTGGCAGCCCAATGCCTATAAACCTCTTCAAAGCCGAAGTTTAAAAAAAGTTACATCGTTTAATGTTTCTAATTGCTGGCTGTTTATAAAAAAAAAACTCAACACAAACCCGAAACGCGTCACGAATCTGTCACATCGAAAATTCGCAAAATGACAAACAAGGAAGGTGTGGTTTTTATTCCTGAATCATTAATATTATTGTTTGTTATGTATTTTTATTTATAATTTTTTAAGAAAACAATAATTAAGCCCTGATGTTTAATGTTTAGACGGAGATTCGAACTGTGATCCGCGAATCGCAGGGCTTCTTGCGGTACACCTTGTAAGTCAAGTTCTGGATGAAGCGTATGTCATAGCGAATGCTGCTACTGAATCAGGTATGTCAGGTACCTAGTATACGGTATAATATTAATATACAAAAATAAGAGTTTGATTCTACTTTTAACCTAATCTTTCACCCATGTTACTACACCTGTGCTCTCAAACAATTTGTTTGTTGAAGTTATTCCAATAATCTTAGGACAACCATGGCGTTACTTGGCGATGCTGAAAAATCTAAGAAGTGGTCCATTGATAGAGGAAATTGAGGGCGACGATACCCTCACTGCATCCAAAAGAGACGAAGAAGCCGTACAAAACAATACGGATTCGGCCCCTAATGTCGTTGCTACGTCGACCCCTCAGAAAGAAGCAGGTACTTGATTCAAAGAAAACGTATAAACAAAAGAGGTCAAGGTATTGAAAAAATATGCTCCGGTTGAGAGAATGGTTCCAATAATAGAACGCTATGTTTTCGCTGACAAGAGCTATGTATTTTTTCATTGAGTAATCACCAATTTATAATGTGGGATAAAAGATTTTCTTTATTCGTTTTAATAAATGGATGCTGTACTTCTCAACATTGTAATTCTTTGCAATTTATTTCAGACGAAATCTACCAAGTGTTGAATGAAACTAGTTTCATAGGCCAAGGTGACGAAGAAAACGATTTGGTATGTTTATTATTAATGCTTATGTAAATGGGTTATTATTTAAAAAAGTAAAATTATTATTTAAAATCACCTTTTAGCGCCAGAATGAATTGACAAAATCAACTTCTATGTTTATCAACCATCTGTTCGATATGAGTGAAGTCGAACGTGTCATAATATGCGATGATAATGACACCGAGAATATTCGATGTGATTCCAATGATTTGTTGACTGAAGCTATGACAAAAATAATGGAATCCTACGTGAACACTGCCCTCGGTATAGCTTTTGGTGAAGATCTAACGACCATAGAGCCCACAGGGCAAAAATCTCCAAGTACAGAACATTCTGGATATTCCTTTTTGTCGGATGCATTCACTGCAGACTTTGGCAAAGATATGGCTTTTTGCGAAGACAATGAACCAACTAACAAGGATTATGGATGTACATCAGTAGTGACTGAAATAACAGAGGTAAGATAACTTGGATCTGATTAATTCAGCAAAATAAATAGAAACCTCTGAACTTACAAATCCATTTACAGGAAGTTGAACAGCAAGGAAATGAAAAATCTATGAAAAACGATGACGTTGCTTTTTATGAAAATACCTATTTAACACTAAATCGTAAGTGCTATTGAAGATAACGTTATTCGGTAATTTGTTGGGAGTAGTTTATAGAACACGCATCATCATAATATTTCAGGTGACTACGATCAATGTTCGGATGATGATGGTGACCCCATATTACAAGATACTAAATGCATGTCCATGCAAGAAGTTGAACTAATGGCTATGCCAACGTCTGATGAGAATTCACCACGAATCGAGGAACCTGTTCAGGTTGCTTCCGATTTTTATCATTATTGTTTGGTCTAGTTGTGATGCTGAACTTTCTAGCAATGAAGATAAGAGTTATTTTAAGAATGGGTTTTTTAAACTTTCCAGCATAAAAGCATTGAGGAGCTGGCCGCTACATCAGCGGCCGCGGTATCAGCCTCAGCAAGTGGTTCGCGTAAGAGTGGGCTGGTGCAGCGGTGCCGTACGCAGGGGGCCCGCCTCCTAGCTTGCCTCCGCGGCTGGTGGCGACGCAAGACTCCAGGGAAACGCAGGGTTTTAAATGATTGCTTAAATACGCTATTAGTATGTTCTAGGCGTTTCGTTAGTCATGACTCATGACGGCCGCATGATGCGATGATTCACACTTTATCAAATGCCGTGGGTCGGGATTTATCGCAATTTACATCAGCTTCTTTACTTTACAGGAGGTGCGAGTCCCAGGATCCGTCCGGGGACTATGCCCCCTATCTCCAGATGCAAGACGTCGCGCTGCCAGTCTGCTAGACCAGCGCAAGCTGTGCTCTTCCCCGCCGTCCGCGCAGCACGTTGTGTGGAAGTTCAATACCGTCAGCGAGGCCCTCGTCAACTCCTCCCGCTGGAAGAACTACACCTTCGACGTCAACCCTGATGAATGTGGCGAATACTGATTAATTTATCTTATTGATCCTGTTATATTTTAGGCAGCTGGTTCTTTGCTAATAAATGCTTTAACGAATTTTATTGTTTATTTTTACAAAAATCTAGAAACCTAGTCCTTTTGATATGAAAAATAGGATTGGATGATCAGAGATTTTATCTGCTAATCACAATATCAGACACCTTGGTTTCCAAGAGCGGTCCTCCTATACACCTATATCACAGAGATCGATCGAAATAGTTTAGCGTAAATGTAGATATACCATTGGAATCGGAGTCAGCACGATCATGGGGAAACCGTGAAAACTCCTCGTCTCGCTCGCGCCTACGTGATCGGCGTGCGTTTGAAGACGCTGCGCGCACGCTCCAACTTCGCCGAAAATAGAACGGTCGCGGATTCCTGGGCTAAATCTCAAATATCCAGACGGGTGCGCCATCTAAGCCAGTTAAAACAGTCCCGCGAAAAGTTACCGAGCCCCACTTCTTGTCTGAACGTCTGCCAGTGAAGACCGGGAGGGAACCAACTAACACCACACAAAATGGTGAGTCATCCATGACGGCAGTGAAATGTGAAAAGGTGTTAGTGAAAATGCGGACTGTTAGATCGACAAGTGATATAGGGAACGTGTTGTTATCTCGTGAAACGATTCCGCAGACCGGAAATCGCGAGCGACATGGAGCTTCAGCGTACCTTCCATGAAATAGTGTTGTGCATAAACAGTGAGAAAACATGGTATCGTATACCTTCGTCGCTTACACACGAGCACCTGCAGTGTTGAAATTCACCAAAAACACACAAGTTAGACCCACACATTGCATGACACGCTTTAAAACATCAAAGTAACGATATGTTTTTGGTAATTTTCAGAGCGACCTCAGCAAGAACGACGTTGAAAGTGAGTATTAATTTTCTGAATCATTTAAATAAATAAAACTTTTAACATAACTATTAACTTGTATTGACATTAATTTCAAATCTTGAAGAAGTTCAAATGAGTCCTAATTGAGATATAACTGATTAAAATTAAAAACTAACATAAGCATTGCATCCTAACATGAAACTTCTAACATGCGGTAGCTATAGTTCATATACGCGTACTTTGCTGAAACATTACATAAATGAAATGGGAGTGAACATCGTAACATCTAAGTTTAGACCGATTCTCATAAAAGGCGTGCGTTCCTAAGAGAAGCCGGTGTCGGCGCCAGTGGCAGGGCCACGCTGCGCGCGCGCTGCGTTCCAAAATTAAACTTTTGCGTCACGTGATCCGTTCGGCCGCCCGCCCAAACAGAGAAACTCCGCTCAGATTTCACTGCAACCTGCCGAGAGCTTTTTGGCGTGAGAATTAGCCGGCCAACCGTTACCTGTTTACATGCAAGATGCAACTAGTGAACCGCCCGTATGCGTCATATTTGGGACATTAATTGGGGTTCTGTTGATATGATAAATCAACTGTCATTATCAAGGTCGTCATGTGGTTTTAATCAGCTGACAGCAGGCTCTTATTTTTCTTCATCTAGCAACAATTATTCCAGTACACCTAATTCTTGAATACCTAATAACTTGATAACAATTATTAAGACTTCTTGTTTGAAACTTAGATATTTTTAAAAATACTTTGGTTTTATGAAGTCGATATTAACTTGAAACATAAAACAATCAATTCAGGATTACAATCAGGCTTGTCTCTATATTTAAGGGATTGCTATTTAAGAATATCGGACGTTTGGCACCCAGTTAAAATTAGGGCAGAGTTACAATCGAGATATAATTAGAATGTGACTCAGTGAGTTTGCAGTGAATATATCGAAACTTGCGGTGGAAAGTATTATTCTGGGAGAAGAATGTATGCCCACGCGCCGCCTACGCGCGGCACCTGAGCGTTCGAAAAAGTAATGAACTGAAGTTTATGTGACTGAAAATAAAGACTGCTGATGTCTAAACAGATGTAATAAACATTCATAATTCCTTATCATAGAATGGGACTATGATTTTTCGAAGCAAAGCTTTAATATTGTATGTTGTCACTAAGCTTATAATATAAAGCTAATAAGCTTTATTAAGGTTTTGATTGTTAATTGAATTTCAATATTTTGAGACCGAATAGGTAGGTACTTAGGCCTCGTTTCAGCCTTAAATTAAACTTTGTTAATATTATGTTCATTCTTACTTCTACAAATTGTTTAACCATTGCTCAAACCATTCAAAGTTTTAAGTGGATTTGCTTGTGTCCAACTAACCAGAGAGTTAGAAATCTCGTGTGCCAATTATTGAGCTAGTAACTTTCTTGAAGATCCGGACTGAACTGGGTTTTATACTAACTTAATTAAATATCATTACTTAATACAAATACAAAACAAATAAACGTATCGATAAGCTGGTTTAATGAGTACCTACTACCATTGCCCTTTGCAACTTAGTTTTTAAAAGTTAGATTTGTCTTAAATAACATCGAACAAAATGTAGATCTTCCGTTCAAGATATACATATAATATTGAATTATGTATTACTAATTATTAAGCTATCAAAACATTGGCAGTGATTGAAACATTGCATTTAATAAATCATAACAACGGTTTCGCACTACGTCCAACCGAAGTCAAAGTACGAATTTAGTAAAATAAATAAACTACCATACGACTAAGTACAGTCAGCGTCAGATAGATCGTGACACCTAAAGTGGCCAAAAAGTTGACAACACAACCTATAACCAATTGCAACAAAGACGTGTTGCAAACTTTTGGACTACTGACTGTGTTATGAACTATTTGACGCTGACTGTACTCCGTATCTTTTCACGGATTTGGGTTGGACGTAGTGTGGAACCGCTCTAACATTATAACCCAATGTAAAAGTGTCTTTAAAAATTGCGCCACCAGTGACCGTCGACTGCTTTTAAACTAACTTTTTTTTACTACACGCCATAACAAAGTCTTATTGTCAATCCAGGGGCATCCTTCGCCTACTCCATCTACGACTTCGACGGCTCCGGCAAGATCGACGCCTTCAACCTGGGTGATGTCCTGAGGGCACTCAACTCCAACCCCACATTGGCCACCATCGAGAAGCTCGGTGGTACCAAGAAGAAGGGAGAGAAGACCCTCACGGTAATTTTTCTCTATTTGTTTACCAAATTACCTTTAAAATTAGGGCTCTATAACAAAAGCGCAAAACCCACAGACGTGTAGAGTTTCGGTAACTGACCTGCGGGAAGCGATTGTCCGCTACGGTCTATACTACGGCTACGGTGGCATGATGATTCACCCCTGAATAGCCGGTTCTTATGTGGCCAAGCAAAACCAAGCCTAGCAACCCGAATATTACAAAATTTTTCGCCCCTGAAATGCTCCCGACACTATGTGTTCTGCGCTTAAAAACCAAGGGAGAGTGTAGCAACCGTAGGAGAGTGTAGCAACTTGTAGATTTAACAGCTTTAGTCAGGAATCGATTAGAAAAAATTCAAACAACCAAATCAATCCGCACATATTGTGGTCACCCTATTGCATAGAGTTGGCAGCGTTATTGGTAATCAAAGGCCTTTGACTGTTAACCCGAACCAAATCTATTTTCATCTCGTTCTCAACATTTACATAATACGTTGAAGTAGGTAAATATTTATTGATAGCCCAAGGTTAATAGAGCGATTGTTGGCACTATCTCTTATTGTTCGACATGATGCTCACATGATGAAAGTATTTATTTCAATGTGTCTGTTGCCACTTGCCAATGCCAGAAGCCCTTTAATTTAATGACATCGAATTTTGGCTACATGTTTAATTTCTTTGCACATGTTTCACTCTTATTTGTGACTTTTTGCGAGGTGATGAGTATTGAGTTGTCGTTTTCGTTACCAACGTAATTCAGATTTTCTTCTATTGAAAAATCAAAACTTACGCTATAAAAACTTAATATTTTTTTTATGAACATAATCAGAATTAACATGCGTTGGCATCATAAATAGCATGTTAAAAGTGATTGATTCTTGCATGTCGTACAAAAGCATGTTTTAATTGTTATCATTTTCATTCCAGCTCGAAGAGTTCCTTCCCATCTACGCCCAAGCAAAGAAAGACAAAGACCAGGGTTGCTACGAGGACTTCTTGGAATGTCTGAAACTGTACGACAAGAACGAGAACGGTCTGATGCTTGGCGCTGAGCTCACACACACCCTCCTTGCGTTAGGTAAGTTTAAAAGTTACTTTATCATGTAACTATACGGCTTATTTTCCTTTAAACTTCTTTTGTCCGAGCCTTATGGTACCTACATTGTTTCACAGAAGAATATGCCTTTGGCAAAGATGCAATGGAATCACACAAAGAGTTTCAAAATCCGAGATATCGTCACAAAGGCTATAAATTATTAAATCCTTTTATTGCACATCACTAATAATACAGATTTGTCGTGATCCATACCGTAATCTGTGCAAAGTTGAAACGAAAGTTAATTCTTGATACAATACTATTCAGTTGAATACCTACATTAACAAAGTTAAAAGCTCAAGGAACTTGTGGTATCTTTGTACCCGGGGAAGTTTCGAACTAGATACTGGAAAATTATGCAGTTATTCAAGGCTAGAATACAGTTTGTCAAGACATAAATATCTGTTTTAATTAAGTAAAATATTAATTAAATGCCCGATTTGGATGGCTGGCCTCGGAGTTTTGGTATTTTTAGGGTTCCGTAGCCAAAATGGCAAAAACGGAACCCTTATAGTTTCGTCATGTCCGTCTGTCCGTCTGTCCGTCTGTCCGTCTGTCACAGCCGATTTACTCGGAAACTATAAGTACTACAGTGATGAAATTTGATGGGAATATGTGTTGTATGAACCGCTACAAAATTATGACACTAAATAGTAAAAAAAAGAATTGGGGGTGGGGCCCCCCATACATGTAACTGAGGGATGAAAATTTTTTTTCGATGTACATACCCGTGTGGGGTATCAATGGAAAGGTCTTTTAAAATGATATAAAGTTTTCTAAAAAACATTTTTCTTAAAGTGAACGGTTTTTGAGATATCAGCTCTCAAAGTCGTAAAAAGTATGTCCCCCCCCCTCTATTTTTATAACTACGGGGTATAAAATTCTAAAAAAAATAGAGGTGATGCATGCTAATTAACTCTTTCAACGATTTTTGGTTTGATCAAAGTATCTCTTATAGTTTTTGAGATAGGTTGATTTAACTGTAATTTTGGTTATATTTGCTGCTACGGAACCCTTTGTGCGCGAGCCCGACTCGCACTTGGCCGGTTTTTTATTCTCAAGAACTAGTCATGGCAGCTCAAGCTTAGAGTCTCTTGTCACGATACTCCAGTTAATTAATGGTTGCCAAAATAATCCAAGATATTTGAGTGGCATACACGAGTCTTTGATTAATTGTTAGATTAAAACTCTGTAAAATAAACTTTGTTGGGAATTTCAACCTTTTGAGCAAGTGCTTATGTTTCATTTCTTATTCAGGTGAAAAGCTGGATGACAAAGAAGTCGACGAAGTCGTCAAGGACTGCATGGACGCTGAAGATGACGACGGCATGATCCCCTACGCACGTAAGTATCATATTAGCGACATACTTTTGTATTTTGATCCCTTTTGGCAACTCTCAATAATGAAAAGTATTTTTGTGTTCGTAGCTTATTGTAGATGTCTTGAAAATGAAGGTACCTTGTAAATTGAATATACATTAAGCACATTGATTTTGCATGACCCTGGTTATGAAAAGCCAAACCTTAGTTGTGTGGAACTGCACATCCCAAAACTAGATTAGCACTGATTTTACCCTAATCACACAAAGCCTAGAGTTACCCTAAATTATAGTACCTACCCTTAGTTGATTTGAAGGAGCACAAGGGCCAAAACATTTACCATTCTGCATGTGTCCCAATTCTTATTGATTGTACCTTTCCAGCATTCCTGAAGAAGGTGATGGCGTAGAAGATCTCATCTCGTCATATCTTTAGTTATAAGTCGTAAGTGAACCAAAACATAAGGATGCCGCTACCGCAAACTTCTTCTCGCTTTTAGCAGGTTTTTTAATTCTCGTCTCATGTCTGTCTGCTTCAATTTGTCATTTAACGTTTTCTTATGTCATAATTAAGTCATTCTCTTACATACTATGTCACAAACAGAATTAATATCGTAAAGATTTATATTCTTTGTGAATATGACGTGTACTTAATAGTTTTTCATTGAGTTCGGGCGTTAACGTACTCTTACTTGGCTATTAACAATGGCATTGGAAATCATTGCATCAACTTACATGTATTTTTGTGTGGCAGCTTTCCTCCGGAAAATGTGCGACGGCTGGGGCGCAAAGAAGGAGGAAGAAGCCGCGCCCGCGGAGGGCTAAACTCTTTGCGTCCGGACCCCGGACGCCGGCTGCCGGACACCGGACGCCGGCCGCCGGACGGCGCTCGCGCACCGCGCCCCGCTGCCCGCCGCCCGCCGCCCTTCCCTCAGCCGTCTCAACACCCCGTATGCGCCATCTTAGATACGGACTACCCCCTTTTTTATACTATGCAACAACATTGTACAACTCGATATCTATGACATCTATGACTGTACATACTAAACTAAGATTAAATTAAACTACTGTAAAACACACGTTGTACGTGTCTTTTTAAATTTTATTATTATTTATTAAGTACATTTATAATGACAAAAATACAAAAAACCGTAAATTATTTTATAATAAATTGTTAAAATTACTAGTCTTGTCTCACTTGATTTTGAAGTGATAATAATAACATTTATTTCATCCCTTACAGAATCACGTGGTTCTGCTACAACCTGATAGGTTCATTTTTATTCTAGTCTGAAAAACAAAACAAAATTAGAGATCAAACTGATAACATAACATGAATTTTGAGACAAGATTGCATGTTGAAACTTTTGTAGATTTTTCATTAAAGATTTTTAAAAATAATACATTTGAATATCGTCATTAGGTTTAATTTTTGCTTGCTCTATGAAAGGCTAAAAATGCCTGAAACTATGACTGAATTAGCAGCAGAAAACGACGACTGTTTACTTAGTCACGAAACATAATGGAATGCCCAAATTAAGTAATTTGCATTAGCGAGCTGATAAAAACAGCTGAAACTGGATAAAGGTAGGTCTTGGTACATAATATAAATGTACGTATTTCGGCAAAATGATGCAGATTCAGGAATATGCAAGAGATGCTAAAAAATAGAAACCCTGGAAGGTGTGACATTGCCTAAAATAAATGTAGAGTTCAAAATTGAACCAATATCCTTACGTACGACCAAAGATAAAATGAGTTGGTGCCTAAATGTGGGCCACTTGGGCTAAACCTAAGTAGAGCATACTTTTTAAAAGTACATTTCAGCGATGCGGGCCTTTGTTTTCTGTGAAAACTTCAGTTTCATGAGATGAGCAAGTTTCTTTTCTATCAATGCGAAGAGTGGAGAGAAAGATATCTGTGCAAGTATATTCAGATTAAAAATATATCTGTCACCGGAAAATAACAAGACTCGTAAGTTGATCAATTTTCTAGGTAGTTGATCAACTCTCGGAAAATAATAAACGGCATTTGAAATGTACTATTTAACGTATGTATTTTAGTAACTTGATTAATTTACGGCGTCTTGCCGTTAAATCATCCGACAAAGGCAAGGTGCACGTTGATTGGTTAAAAGACTCACATGCTTTTATACCGCTCCCCGCCACCCGGCCGCCGCCATTACCGGTTTAAACGTAAACAAATCTATCTATTTTCTTTATTTTCAGTAGTAAAATTAGCAATTGTTGTTTTGTGTGGTAATAATTCTCATTATAACAAGTCATTTTATTTATGATGAGTGAAATGGAGTCTGTAGTGGTAGAAATAAACAAACTTACTTATTATTAATATAACTTACAGTAATAGAACTCTGAGCTCCAATATATTTTTTTAAACATTTTTCATTTATTTAACTATATAGCATAGACGAACTTTAATATCCCTATCTCTAAAATGTAAATATTAAAACAACATAATCTAAGTGTTTGTAACTCTATGAATAAACACTTGCCAAATACTTATAATTAATGCTGTCGACCAATCAGAGAAAAGTGTATTAAGTGACGGATAATAGTGTACCGTCAAATAGTACACTGGGCAACGATTGGCCCATTTGTGGATGATTTTACTTGTAGCAATATAGTTAATTATTAAATTACGGCTAGGTACCGTAAGTTGACCAATTAGCTAAAATTCGATGCGTTAAATAGTACATTTGAACTGCCGTTTATTATTTTCCGAGAGTTGATCAACTTCCTAGAAAATTGATCAACTTACGAGTCTTGTTATTTTCCGGTGACATATCCAAGTCTACCTACTGAGCAGCTGAGGTCTGACATAGGTATGTTCTCCCTAATTTTAGTAACTGCGAGTACTTCTTAATTAGCTTACATAATAAATATGCCATATCTGACAAACTTTAAATCAATTATGATGACTCTGAAATATGACGACTACGACATGATAGTGTGATAGAATAATAGAGTTACTAGCTAGAGTCTAGTAACTAAACAAAGGATTCCCTCGGGGCGTCTCTCAAGTCTCAGCACACCTATCTTGATAAAAATTATGGCTTGGATGAATTTACATATAAAAGTCATCTAATAAAAATACATAGGTACAATGAAGTTATTTTTCAGTATTTGAGTATCCAAGATACTGTTATTCTTAATTTCTAAAATTTTTACAAAAGGGATTTATTCATAAGAAAATAACGTAGACTCTACATTTCATTCCCTAATCGTGAATTATGAGTATCTAGTAGGTACAAAGTCTCTAATTAAAAAATCGAGCGACGCTACATTGTAAAGCTCATACAATAACACCAAAACTTGATCAAGGTAGATTTAGCAGGTAGCTGTACTCGTGCATTAATCAACTCTAGCCACGTAATAAAGAACCTTCGGGTTATTGTATTATGAGTTATTATCGAGAGAGAGACCCTCGGTGGTCAATGCCCGTTTGAATACGGGTCAACTAGGCAACTCATAGGGGTGTCGTTTGCCAAAATCCACCCTCGCGCGCGCCAAGAAAAATGGCGCGGAAACTGCTTTCCCGGCATCAATACAAGCGGTTCGGCAGAGCTCGGCACTCGATCGGATATATTCGGGTATTGCAGCGTGTGAGGCTGTGGGATATTGTTGCCGTGGTTTTTCCTTTCCCATGATTTAGAGAAAATAGTTTTCTTATAAAATGGTATAAGATAGGGATATGTCATCGTGTGGGTTCTGTAAACTCTACTAAATATATTGATTACTCAGAAGTTAATAAAATATATGGATTCGAAAAATAAATTATGAAACCACGTGGTAATAATGCTCTGCTGCATCGCTTAAAAAAGCTCATGTTTGGCACATTAGGCTACTACATTATGTTTTCTCATAAGTACTTACACGAATATCAAGCTTTTTCAATGTAAACAACTCAAAGTCCATGAGCATTAAAAAAATCTCCGCAGATTTTTGTCGAAAAGTCAAAAAGTGATTAAGGTACTATTGATTTTGATGGCACACCATTACATTACAGCTCTACATTAAAAACTCTAAACAAATTAAGTGTTGTTCAAACCTAAAAATATAACATCAAATGATGAATTCTTGCTAAGTTAAAAAACATCTAGTGGGGATTTTCTCCCACGCCACTGGCAACACCGTTCGGCTCCGGCGTCCCAGCGAGTTTCCGCGGCGCAGTGTTTATCTCGACGCGAGCGCGATCGTGCGGTGCGCGAACTTTGAGTGAGTGTTATCAGTGATAAGGTGCTGTGTTTGCCGGCACGCTGGTCGACAATCTCTCAAGTATGACTTCAATGTTTTATAGATTTTTTAAGTATACTTTTGCTAAAAAGTGTATATCTTAATATACACTTTTTGGCAAGGCAACTCAAACGACATAGAACACGGCAAAAGTAATTCGAATAAATCTTAAACTAAGTATGACAACGACGATTAGTATACCCATTAAATAAATTACAAATCAATTACTAGAGTTCTCTCTACCTTTTGGTGTGGCGGGTTTTCACAGATCAATAGGTACCATTTCAATCTTCAGGGAGAGTTCTAGAAGTCCTGAAAAAAGTAAAATACAGCGTAATAATAACAGACCACTTACTTCTAATCGTTTAATCAAGCTTCAAGGAGAGTTTTTATAACTCCCAAATATTAGTTAATCCCAGTATAGGTACTAGTTATGTAGCTTACTTTTTCGGCTGTAAATTTCTTTAGAAGTTTCGTGTCTACTCGTTAAGTGAATTAACTTATGCTAATAGGTAGATAGATGGATGACATCATGGTTCTACCCTTTTATGACATCACCAAGACTAAATACTGTCGATACAGCATTGTAAAAGGATTAATATAAAATACACCTATTATTAATAAAGATGAATTAGTTATTCTATAGTTTGAAGTAAAGATGACGTAAAATACATTGTTAATGCCGTTGGAAAAATCATCTCTCAGTACAAACAATGCGTTGTTGTTTATCAACATCAATCACAACTATCTAGCTAGCTGTTATAAACTATGACAAATATTGCAATTATGTTGATAGGACTAAATTAAATAAAGATTTTATAACATTAGCACTCAACCATGGACTAATATTGACTCAACCCACTTCTGGAAAATGTCTTAGCATGAGAGTATGGAGTACAATTTGTATAATTTTCACATTTTCATAATGTTATTCAATTTCAGTATACATTTTCAGACAGTGTATGTGTAAAACATACTTCGTTTATTGGGATTTCGCCCAATACTGAATTAAATATTAACACAGATCCAAAAGCTTGTTTGATGTAGGCATAGGAGATATTGTTAATCAGTGAATGTTAATAAAATTGCTTAGTAATGAGTTTACATTGTGTACCGTTCATTAATCAAACATGGTTTATTAATCGATTGGTGTAATGAGTTGACTGAAAAAGCTTAGTCCAACGCCAAAATTAAGATTCTCTAAGTAAAGGACGCCCTAAATTAGCGGCGCCGTTATCCACTAAAAAGTTATAGTCACATAAACTGTCAGGGTATTTTCGTAGAGATGGATTATGTCCGGGTAAGACTTGACGATGGGATATCCTCATATGCCACAGAAGATACGTATCTTATACCTAAGTCCTGTATTCCTGGTGGATAATAGAACTGAATTCTGGTTCATCGAGTATTGTACACTTATTTTTATTTACTTGCTCTACATAATATTCTGTTTTCTAAGATCGTTGACACGAGTTATTTTAATAAGGGTCAAAGTTTCAGTATGAACCTACTCTTTTTGTGTATTTCTATGAAAATAGTAGCAATTTAGTTCATCAATTTAGGTTATGGCTTCGTTATTGGAAAACAATGCGATTTATGATTATTCTAAATAGGTATAGATTGCCCAATTGATATTAATTATATTTTCTTGACTAGTTTATAGTGCTTTTGTAAATAAGTAATTATTTTGACCATCAACCAACTATCCAACATTATATTCAGAACTTCATCTACGTATACCTACACGATCTAATTCCTGAAATTAATTTCAGGTACCAATAAACGCAGTGACTTGGAATCGCCATGGCAGACGTGAAGGAGTCCCCAGCCTCTCCGGGCAAGAACATGGACAAACATAACACAGGTAAATTGGATAAGTTTATACAATAATCACCATACAAAGACTAACTTCGAGAATCGTACTTAAGTTTTGTACGTAAAACTACGAACTTATTATTAGTTACATGCGTGCTTTCGTGACATTTGCGATAAGTTGTTGATTAATTTTGTGTATTTTTGTTGGTAAGGTGAATGGTCTTAGCAAGAACGTGTTTCATGTTGGGGAGCTGTTTTGTGAATTGTATTTTAAGGTTCCTTTAGTATGCTGATACTTAAGTGTTAACTGTAATTTAGTCTAAACTTTAACTATAATTAAGATCATGATTTTTACTTAATAACTTGTAGAAATCTTAACCTACGATTTGCTAGGAATTTTTTTAAAACAGCAATTTGCTTATCTAAAACTTAGCTTTTATTCCCACGAAAAAGGTTCTAAAATGTCAACTTTTTACTTTTCATAATTTGATAGGAGCTTCTTATTTACATTCTGTGTTAACTACTGCGTTCAACAAAAATATTCCGAGCGGAGAAATACGAGTTCACGTGTACTTCATCCTCTTTGGGGACCTCCCTTAATACGAGCACCTACGCAATATATCCACTGGGTACAATCCCTATCCTTTTTATTTGGATACGTAAGTAGTACCTACGCGAGACCAACATACTTAATCAACCCTTCAGCTTATTGTGATTTGAATACCAATTTTTCTTATATTTGTACGGTCAACGTTTGACTATCTATGGATAATTCTAGGTGTACGGATACCTTTCCATGTGGATGAGTGCGAGGGTTGAGGGATTCATATTGAACCTCCCGTTAACGAGTCCACACGTTATGAAAATCACTACGGTATAATATAATATAGTTAGATATGTCTCGAATAATAAACACTGAAGAATGATTTTGTAAGTGACTCTATCTGTAAAAGTTCGGGTTTGTCTTTGCGTCCTCAATTCACATTGTGTACTAAAGAGAAACCTTTCCGTACTGACCGACTGCTTCTAATGAAACCAAAGAAGGCATTAGTAAACAATGTGCTCACGGAGTTTACAACTAATAGTTGTAAATGTTCGAGGGAACGGGAGTAAAAGAACGTTACAACGCTAGTTCCCACAACCGGTGAATGTATGGAAACGTAAAAACTACGTTCTCAGCATACTTTACGTGTAACGCAGGGTATTCATACGTTATCAAGGAAAACATTAGAAGATTTTGTAAGATCAGTGCCGTATTATCCATAAGGCACTTTAGGCCTGTGCCTAGGGGCCCACTATGACCAGGGGCCCATTACTCCCGTATAAAAAAAAATTAAAAAAAATTTAAAGATTATTTTTAAGCAACAAAACTCAAATCTTCGCCTTATTTTGGTTCACACATTCAATCGTCATATTTCGATATTGTGGAACCTCATTCATTTTCGTAACGTTGGCATTACTGCTTTGGTTTACATAACAGGTCAACCGTCGACGCCTCGACGCCCTTCAGAGGCTAAAAAGCCTCACTGCGGAGGCTAGGGTGAGGGTGTGTTGGCTGTATCATTCGATATAGCCAACGCTTTGAATACCATCCCTCATTCCACCATACGCTAGGCACTTAAACATCATAGAGTGCCTCAGTACCTTCGAGCGCTGCTGGCCGATTACTTACGGGACCGCGAAGTCCTGTATGTTAACAGAGACGGCCAGCTCAAACGGCGCAGCGTAGCCAGCGGGGTTCCGCAGGGTTCGGTCCGTTCGGTGCTCGGTCCACTCTTGTGGAACCTAGGCTTCAACTGGCTCCTTCTAAGCGTCTTTCTCGCGGGCATGAGTGTCATATGCTATGCGGATGACACTCTGGTCACTGCCCGGGGGAAAACATTTGCACGGCTGGTGTCGGCGGGCGGCACATTAGTCGGTCGCAGAATACGACGCCTCGGCCTGAAAGTCGCGCTGGAGAAGACTGAGGCCCTCTTCTTTCCGGGGCCTCGCCAACGCACCCCTTCCGACGCCCACATTGTGGTTGAGGACGTTAGGATTAACGTCAAAGGTCAGATAAAATATCTGGGCCTCACGCTTGACGGGAGGTGGCATTTTAGCCCGCACTTCAACGGGCTAGCGCCACGCTTCCTCAAGGCAGCTGGCGCACTGAGTTGGTCCCTCCCAAATTTGGGAGGGCCACAAACGAGGTATCGTCGACTTTATGCCGGCGTTCTGAGGAGCATGGTGCTGTATGGCGCCCCAATCTGAGTGGACGCACTCAACAAGAGGGAGAATGCTGCCCTTCTGCGCAGGCCCCAGCGGGCCATAGCGCAGGAAGTCGCAAGGACCTACCGCACGGTAGGGCACGCTGTGACGTGCGTCCTCGCTGGTACTCCTCCTTGGGAGCTAGAAGCTGGGGTTTTGTCTGTCATCTATCACTGGATGGCAGACCAGATGGCGCGTGGAAAGCGCCTAGCCCCGGAGCAGCGCGGCGCCGTCAGGCAGGAAGAGCGCGAGATCATGAACGACCGCTGGAAGGAACACATGACTCGCGCGCAGTTTGGCCGCCGCACTTTGGACACCATTCAATTTGGTCCTGTTCTGGACCACTGGTTGGAACGAACGCACGGGTTCCTCACGTTTCGTCTGGCGCAGGTGCTGACCGGTCATGGCTGCTTCGGTTCGTACCTGCATAGGATCGGGCGACAGGAATCCCTGCTGTACCACAAATGCGGCGCGGCGGATGACACGGTTCAGCACACCCTCGCGGTCTGCACAGGCTGGGATGAGCAGCGTCGTGTCCTCACTGCGGTCGTGGACCGGGATCTTCCGCTTCCGAGCCTGGTCAACGCCATGCTAGGAAGTGAAAGATGCTGGATGGTGGTCGCCTTCTTTTGCGAAGAGGTCATCCTTCAGAAGGAGGCAGCGGAGCGCGAGCGAGAAAACGATCCTCTCGCCTCATCGCTTCGCAGGCGGAGAAGGCGGTGGAAAAGGCGGTTGTACGACGGTTCTACTCAGCCCCCAGGTGGCGGCCAGCAGGCCGGGGGTGCGGGGGCACCCTTGTCACCTCCGTCTGACGGGAACGGCTTTGCGTTTCAGGCCATTTCCGGCGGACGCCCACGAGGGGGGCGTGTAGGGTCCGCCGTGTAGGCGAGCTGTCGCCGGTGGTGTCGCGGAAGTCTAAGGCTACGGCCAGATACTCACGACATCCCCACTTGGGCGATGACGGAACGCCGCGGAGGTTTTAGTGGGTATACCCCGTCCTTTTCAGGATGGAGCAGCGCCCTTTTTAGGCCTCAGCCTCGAATTTAGCGGGCAGCGGGGCGGCGGCGGTAGCGGCGCGGGAGCGGCAGGATCTTATGCGTAAAATCAAATAGACCGGTTCTCGAAAACAGCGGCGCGGGAGCGGGCAACGAGCGGGCAGCGCACTCCTTCTTTTGCCCACAATAAATCGAGCGTTAGAAATAAAATTTTGAATCGAANCCGGATTAGATTACGCCCTTAAAGTTTGATCACTACATGCCCGGACACACTGTATAGGACGAGACAAGTCTTGTTGTCATCAACTCCTAGATAGACTCGAATTTTGCGTTTCAGTACTTGCTTACCCCTTACTAATAAAACTTACACGCTCGTTGAACAGTGTTTTAAAGTGACGTTTAGTATGGAAATGTCATTTTAAAACACTGTTCAACGAGCGTGTAAGTTTTATTAGTAAGGGGCAATGATATTAAAGAACTATAGATATGTTACGTTCATAGAAATTACGATTTGAATCCGTGCCGAGCTATTCCAAATTGCACACATTGACAAATGTAACTGATAAGTGAAACAAAAGATACGAAATAGCACGCAAATGAAAGAGATAGCTATAGTTTTAACGATGTCCGCAACGCACGCATCCTTATCGCTCTAACGTCAAAACAAGATCGCTTTCTCTTTCTTAACTTGAACATGGCGCATGGCGTCTTGATTGTTTGCATAAATAATTGAAAATATAAATACTAAATAATTCTGCATAATCACATGTGGTAAGAGATCCCTTGTANGAATCGAAATAAAATTGTCGCCGTTGTTCAGACATTTCGTTTGCGAATAAAAACAAATATCTCGACAACACAACCCCGAACACAACACTTCGCCGCTAAAGCGCCGCGCGAGCTGCCCGCTTGTTTCGAGAACGGGTCTGCGTTGCCCGCCCCGCTCCCGCGCCGCTGCCCGCTAAATTCGAGGCTGAGGCCTTAGGGCGCCGGAAGTCCCACACATCACCCTGTTCCTCGGCAGTGGTGACGGTGCGCAAAGCATTTCCTCCGCTTCAAAAAAAGGGGGGCCCCGAAACGAGCTGTGCCTAGGGGCCCCGAGATGGTTAATCCGGCCCTGTGTAAGATNCTTCTGGTCGCATCTTGGGCAGAGGGTTCCCTTCGCCGATCATGGCCGTGTCCACCAACCCCGGGGAAATACTCTGAACACAAACAGCAATATATTAATATGGGATAGAAGCAGTAAGAAATAATAACAACAGGCAAAGTAGAATAATAACTACCCCCACTTTGGACTTTGTCGTCTAGTCTAGGCTACTAAGAAAAATATGCGAACATCAGCCCACCCAACCTCAGTGTAGACCAAATCCTCCATTTGCCTCAGGTAATTTGGAGAACGTCATTCATAACACTTAATTATTCTTACAGAGGAGACTAAATAACCTGACGATTATGTTACCATAAGCTATCAAAAGCTTCGTACATCTGGCTAAACCCTTTTTTTCATGGCTGTTGGGGCGGCTGGTTATGCGCCACTCTCCCCGCCAGAAGGACGAGGTCTATATACCCACTAAAACCCGACGGTGTCCTCCGGAGCCGAAGGTTATTGTCCTAACTTGGACACAACTGACCGTAACTTTAATGTCGCTTCCAAGGTGCGCCAGTTCGTTGAGCAGAGCAGCTGAGAACGCGCAGACGGCGTGCTTTGTCGCGCAGTACACGTTGAACAACTCCGAGAACGGAATGTAGTGGCCCGCCAGGCTACAATGACGTACAAATTACAAGCCAGGTACTCATGTATCAATCATGGCCAAGGATAGGTTAGGTACATGAAATAAACACGTCACATACATTAGTCCTTGTAAATTAGATGGTAGCCATTTGTTTCAGGTCATGAGTGCATCGTGTAGGTATGTACCTAATATTCGATTTGAAATTAAACGAGAAAAGAGACGCTTCTAAAGCCCGGTCCGTGAGCACGTAGAATTTTGTCTAATGACCCCTAGCTACCCATCCTTATCGCTCGCGCGTAATTGTTGCTATCGCGCTCGCACACTCACTGCGGATGCCAGTCGCACAGTCGCGACAGCAATATAATTACGCGCGAGCGATAAGGATGGGTAGCTAGGGGTCATTGGACAAAATTCTACTACGTGCTCACAGACCAGACTATAGTGTATATGTAGCTCAGGGGTCAGAACAGTAGGTACAGTCCCAACGAAAGTTGGGAATCCCACGGTTTAGTTCCCTTCTACTGAGGCATAGTTTCATTTTCAAGTCTGTTTTTTACTTTTTTATTAAAGTAATACTTTCACCTTTAAGCTTCAACCACACCAACGCGTGCAGATCGCCATCGACGGCGCGATCTAAGGCCAATGAGAGGTCGCGCAACCCATGACGGTCCGTGCCACCAGCCATTGGCCTATGATCGCGCCGGCGATGGCGATCTGCAAGCGTTAGTGTGGTTGAAGCATTAGAAAGAATGAATGTTACACAATGATATTATAGAACTATAGATATGTTACGTTCATAGAAATTACGATTTTAATCCGTGCCGAGCTATTCCAAATTGCACACATTGACAAATATAACTGATAAGTGAAACAAAAGATACGAAATAGCACGCAAATGAAAGAGATAGCTATAGTTTTAACGATTCTGCACTAACTAATCTATCGCTCTAACGTCAAAACAAGATCGCTTTGTAAGATAAACTATTAATTTATTGTTAAATTTCTCAATTTCTTTACATCGTTTTGTGCTATGCCAAATTTTCGGAAATATTGGAGTATAATGCCCTACATTATTGTGAACTAATAAATATAATGACTCGTGGAAACTGGAAACATTTTCATGTCGGTCTAATATTTAGTCAAACATTCTTACAAAGACGTTCAAAACCTCTTTGAAGTGAAGCGGTTATTGTACAGTTTAAGACAATAACGAGATCATGCATCCTCCATCATTTTTTCGAGTTAGGAAGTCATAAACCTGTTAATGAGTGTCTCATCCCGACCAGAAAGCGCGTAGGCGACACACTGCACCAATTCCTTCAATTCACAAGATCAGCGTTAGCATTCTTGACCATTTACCTAGAATCGGCTAACAACACTAATAAAGTTGCCCCAGATGTCAGTTGTCACCAAGATTTATGCCAATACTTCGGCCGCGTCGTAAACGCACATTCTGCCCTTGCACGTTTCATTACTCCACTATTAATTAATACATCCTTATGCAACGGTTATAAAGCTCAAATTAAATACTGCATACGCTCTACAATAAAGGTCGTGCCTCCAGTTATCCATCGCAGTTACTAACAATTGTTCTGGCATATTTATTAACGGCATGTATTTAAATGATCTTTAAATTTATCTTCTGTGAAATCTTAAAATTAAATTAGCNGTTACATAAATAAGTAGTTACCTGCTAATATTGATAACGTGCCCGCTGCCGCCGCGCTTCTTCATGGAGGAGATGGCTCGCCGGCTGCAGGCGATCACCGCCTTCACGTTGAGATCCAGCACTGTGTTCCATTGATCGTCGCTGATTTGGTTATTACCTACATCTAAAAACAATTTGATTAATGAAAGAGAGCCAAAAGTTTTCTAAAGTAGGTCCAATAAAACCCATTTGCGTGATCTAGGTATACCTAATAGTCACGCAAGTCGGTTGGTCGTCTATTATTGTCTAGATTCAGTTAGCAGAAGTGGTCCTATTTTGGAACCCCGTGATTATAATAATCATTTGTCGAATCTTCGGGACTGCCTATTCAGTCAGTGTCGCTCACCAAAGGAAGCTAATCCAAAACTGTGGTACCTATCGACTATTTGAACTCAACGTCTGAGTGGCGCGTGCGTGACTGATGGATCACGGAATTAAATAATAAGTTTTTAACTTTTTCCAAGCAAGGTTACAATAAAAAGTCTAAAGGTTCGGCCAAACCAACGCGATCACACGCGATCAGCCGGCGTGCTGTTGGTTTGGCCGAACCTTAACTTCGCTGTTAATCATGCCTACCAGTAATATGCCCTTGAAAGAATACCCCCGCGTTGTTGACGACCACGTCGACGCCTTGGAAGCTGTCTTCCACCCACGCGAAGGCATCAGCCACCGCGGCGGCGTCGGTGACGTCACACTGCCGGGAGTGGATGCTGCCAGACCCTTGCACTTTGGAACGGAGCGCCTGGGGGTATGCGTCAAGAGTAACTTGTATCATCCTCACACGTAAGAATAGCACAAAATTCAGATAAGGCGTTATAATTGTAATCATTTAGATTAGAATATAAAAAGTTTCGAAAACTATTATTGTAGTTAGCATACATACACGCTAGGCTATAGGTAAGCAAAAAATATGTGTTAAAGTATTTAATTCAGATATCTCTATGTTGGATGTTAACAACAATGTTAATGTCCATAATGAGAAGAACAGCTTCGTTAGAGCCGTCCCACACAATGCAGTGCGGCTCCGGCGCCGCGATATAGAACTTGAGGAACCCACGATGCCATACTCCATCTGAACGGTGTGGGAGTTGGGACATCTAAGACCTCTAAGGACTCTTTCAAATTAGACGTTTTGAGACGGACGTTTGTCGTCCGTTTGCAGGACCGCACATCGGAAATTGTATTACAACTGCGTTGGAAAAATTTTCCATTTGACAATCAATTACCAACAGTGTACGTACAATAAGCAACACTTACCTCAACTAAGTCTGCTCTCCTGGCCAGGCCGACCACGCGCAAGCCAGCGTCAGCCAGCCGCACGCTGATGGCTGCCCCAATACCCGCGCTTGCGCCCGTCACGACCGCCGTCTTGCCCGCCCAGCGGTCCATAGCTGTTACTAATAAATAAATAAATATAATAAATAAATAAATCTTTGGACAATTTCACACAGCGCCAGCTAGCCACAAAGTAAGCAACTTAATGCTTGTGTTATGGGTGCTAGTTTAACGGATATACTACTTTTATACTTTTTTTTTTTAAATACATAAATATTATACTTAGCACACCCAGACCCGTCACAGAAATTAAAATTCATCATTTCAATTTCTGCCCGGCCGGGAATCGAACCCGGGACCTCTCGGCATAGTAGTCCGTTCTGAACCACTACACCAAACGGCCGACTAAAAAAACTAAAAAACTAATAAATCAAACTTATTAAGAAACCTGAAACGGAAAACGCAGCGCGGGACATCCACCTACAAGGTGGACCGACATCATAAAGGTAGCAGGAAGGCGCTGGACGAAGGCCGCTTACAATCGATCAACATGGAAATCATTGGGGGAGGCCTATGTTCAGCAGTGGACGGCTTATCACTGAAATGATGAAGACGAGCGGTCCATAGCTATTACTATTAAACCAAATTTATTAAAAAACCTGTAACGGAAAACGCAGCGTGGGATTTCCGCCCGCAAGGTGGACCGACGACATCATAAAGGTAGCAGGAGGGCGCTGGAAGCAGGCCGGTAACAATCGATGAACATGGAAATCATTGGGGGAGGCCTATGTTCAGCAGTGGACGGCTTATGGCTGAAGATGATGACGAGCGGTCCATAGCTGTTACTATTAAACCAAACTTAAACAACCTGGAACGGAAAACGCAGCGTGGGACGTCCACCCACAAGGTGGACCGACATCATAAAGATAGCAGGAAGGCGCTGCTGGACGAAGGCCGCTTGCAATCGATCAACATGGAAATCATTGGGGGAGGCCTGTGTTCAGCAGTGGACGGCTTATGGCTGAAGATGATGACGAGCAGTCCATAGCTGTTACTAAGTATTAAACCAAATTTATTAAAAAAAAACCTGAAACGGAAAACGCAGCGTGGGACGTCCACCCACAAGGCGGACCGACGACATCATAAAAGTAGCAGGAAGACGCTAGTCGCAGGCCGGTAACAATCGATGAACATGGAAATCATTGGGGGAGGCCTATGTTCAGAAGTGGACGTCCTATGGCTGAAATGATGATGATGATGATTAAAAATCCTAGCTTTTGTTACCTGCAATACAACCATTTGTTTCACAAAAACATAGTTCAAGCAATAAATCCTATTGAACACAAATTGATAAGAGGAATTATTACTGTGTTTGATGAGGTTTCATCAACACACAAATCAACGGGGCCTTTTGTCACCTTTTGTATTGATGAAAAAAAAACAAACAATTCTGATTTTAATTGAATTCAATGACACGAACAAAAGTAAGTAAAGGTAAACAACTTTGTACGATTATAATAATTTGCTACATTTAGGTAGCTTACATTGCTGTTAGTTATTTACTGAACCATAAGTAAACTTACCTGTTAAAAAAACTTCTTTCCTTACTTCGCGAATGGAGCAGCAAAGTTGATTTCACTGAACACTATCAACAAAAGCCGTAAACAGAAATAAAAAGTTGACTTTCACTGCAAACAGTACGAGCGGCACCGAACCGGTTAGCAGGCGAATGGTCGATCGAATGACGGAGGTTTTAGAGTAACTTGCCTTTCCCTTAGCTGAATCTACGTTTTATTTGGTTTATTAATTAACTAACTGCGCTCGCGACAGTCTTGCGTTAACTAGCTCTAGCGTATCCAGTTAAAATGAAAACCACAATTTATGTATGAGAATGAGAGGTGTCGTCAGGGCACCATTTATTTAAATAAATAAAATATTTTTATTAATAATTCAGCATTGTCTATTGTACGTCTATTATATGCGAAATATCTACTAAGTCCTAAAATATTCTTTTGGACTTACTGGTACAGTCAGCATCAAATAGTTTGTCACAGAAATGTCCATAAAGTCAGTTTGTAAGTGCTATTCGCATGTTCCTATCACACATTACAAATTACCCATAACTTTAGAGAAGGCAATAAATAAAACACAGAATAATTTAAAATTGTATAATTAAGATAATTGTATGTTAATAGAAAAATCTCCGACATACGACACTTAACAAGGCTAGAAATATTGAAATGGTCGAATATACAACGCGCGGCATATGTAACTAACTATGCGACTCTGACACTCATAGGAACATTTGCACCTTAACCTAACTATTCTAGAGCTAACAGCAAGCTAATTTATTGAACGCCTTTCATAGAAAAACCATGGAGGATATTGTATAAATTATTGCACATCCATTTCAAAGAGTTCATTGCAATTCACCAGTCATTTAGCAAATTAAGTGATCTAATCTCAGTATTTTCCCACCTACTTCATGGTATCGCACAGTCAGTGTCAAATACATAGTTCGTGACACCCAAAGTGACCAAAAAGCTACCTCATTCCGATATAACAAAGACGTCTTGCGAACTTTTTGGTTCGTGACACCCAAAGTGACCAAAAAGCTACCTCATTCCGATATAACAAAGACGTGTTGCGAACTTTTTGGTTCGTGACACCCAAAGTGGCCAAAAAGCTACCTTATTCCAATATAACAAAAACGTGTTGCGAACTTTTTGGTTCGTGACACCCAAAGTGGCCAAAAAAACTACCTTATTCCAATATAACAAAGACGTGTTGCGAACTTTTTGGCTACCTTTTGGCTGTCACGAACTATTTGACTGTACACCCTGCGTACATAAATGACTGCATGCAAGTAGCGTTTTACAATATCCTCCTTGGTTCTCTGCCAAGTTATTTGCAACGGCTAACAGTTGTCTTCGTTGCTGCTTTATTTACATTTAACATTATGTTTAAATCGTAAATTGCTTTATTATGCCATAAACGATGCGTTATAAGTTTAAGTAACGACACATTTTTACAGACAGGGTCTGTTTGCGTATGACGTCTATCACACCTTTTATAATCGTTGTACATTATACAGGTGTTCAAGAATTAAGTGCATAAATGAAATGGGTTGATTCGATGCTCTCACAGGGTTATTATGGGTTCTGGCAGGCAACTATGTATTACATACTAACTTCTACACCTAAAGTGGTTTATTATGTGTACCAATCATTTTCACTTATGCACGTTATTAGGACACCAGCCTGTATATTTAATAAGTAAAATGTAAAATAGTAACAAAAAAATATAAATAAACACTGTATAGTAAAATAACACTGTTTTCCAAATAAGTTAAATTAATATAACTAACTAGCAAAACCGATAACGCTTCGAAATGTACAGGAATTCATTATAACGCATCGGCGGCATATCTTTGAAATTGTTTGACTTGAAACATTAATGTGCAATAAATCGCGTTTTCGTAGATTCAATACAAAAACGCGATACCATACACTTCAAATGTAGGCGCACACTAGGCGACATGCGACAATAACAGCTTGGCGACTAGACGCTATGACAGGCTGCTTTCATATATTTTGGACGCCGCGACTCTAGTCCCAAGTGTACGAAGCTTTGAAATAAATATAATTATGAAATTGTCGGCCGCAGCCTGTTGTTCTGTCTAGTCGCCACGTTTGTCGCTGTCGTGTGTCACCTAGTGTGCGCCTATAGTAAATTTTACAGTCAGTCGCCAGCTTAACTTGTTGGCGTAAGTATTATGCTTATTGCTCCATTAAATGTTAAACATGTAATGCAAAACTAAATGTTATTGTTATGTTTAAAATACTGTTATAATAAAATTTCCTTTACAACAAACAACACATTAAAATCTGTACAATTTTTATAATAACCAGGCATCGACACAACTACTTCATCTAAAACTCAGTGTGATTACTAATTTCATAAGATTTTTCCTACTCATAAGTTTGTGAAACCAGGGTCGNAGGCCCTTGGGGGGCCCGCGCAGGGTGGGGCCCGGCTGGCAAATGCCACCCCGACTGTATGGCCAGTCCGACGCTGTGTGAAACTGTTACCAATATATTCATTTTGAGTTCTATTTTTGTATAATATAACCGGGTTATGGGAAGACCTTGTGTTGTATTTTTCGATTAACCACGACTACGCGTACTCATAAGACTATATCCTAAGAAAAATAGTGCTAGATTATTTCATTTAAAGTAATAATAATAAAATAATCTGTATTGAAAGATGTTAAGTATGAGTAATCGCTATTAATCTTCCTGAAACATGATTTTGTGTTATTAAAAATATTCTTAGGTCCAACTGCACAACCTTCTTCAACATTTCTCTTTCATTGTAAACAAACAGACATTTAAATAATAATGTTTTGAATGCAGAGTATTCTAATCCTGTTTTAAAGAGTGTTGTGCAAATGGATACTTTTACAACCACCTTAAAATACTACTTTATTTAAAAAGAAATTGCACTTACTAATATCACTTACGTAACGCTATAACTTATAACTTATAACATGATCTATTTTATAAAATTTACAATCCGTGTACGAATTATTATATTGATAGCGTGAGAAAATACGTCTTTTACAATTTGTGCAGCGCATTTAACAATTAAATTTTGTGTGTGCTTGCATTCACTCGTTGGAAAAACTTTTTAATGTGACTACTTCCCTCTCACTCACACATACTCATAGAGAAAGCAAGAAGTCACCTCTCGCTTGCACATTCAAATGCAATAGTAGACACGAAAGACCAAATCTAATGCCTAAAGTATATTGCTTTCTGATAAAATCCCAACTTATCTATTGAAGTCACTGGACCCGCTTCTATCTAATAAAATTTGTACTATCACAGATCTACATCGTGTTTCTTTTCTCTTTCGTTGGATAGAAAAGAAAAGAGAACACTACATAGTTTATGTTTGTAATACAAAAAATATTAGGAGATGGTATTCTTACAAATTTTATTTATTATACGACCACGTTAACCTAGCTTAACGACCATGTGTTTATGGGTTCTCTTTCAACCGTATTTTTAACCACAAAGTTCAATCTACGCAGTGGTAAAGAAATCGCTTTGTGGCAGTTCCTAGTTTGTTTATTGCAGGCTTGAACCAAACCATGACCCATCGATTATATTATAAGGGTACCAGCCCGATGAATTATGTTCACGAATAATCACTTATAAGGTCGACAATTAATTTAAAAGGGTATTTTCTTAATCATAATGCGCTATGGACCTACCAATGAACACTATGTTATAGCAAATAACAATGTACGGACGACAGCACATCAAACTATCATTTTTGTTGCAAAATAGCTCCTATCACAACTGCTTAAATACCAATGTTAAACTTGATGTGCTATCGTGTGTACTGTATCATTAATACGTTAGCGTCATTTCTTTTTTCTCCCAACATCACACCAATTGCGCTCAAATTGCTTGTTATTCTTTACTTTACACTTTATGCATCCTAACAAAAAACTTAAACACACAAACTACGCACTCACACATCCATTTATACAAAGCAATATTTACCGCCAATCTCATTTACAGGTAAAAAATATATCCATTATGATCTTTAGACTTATTTTATCGTCATATTATTCTAAAACTAACAATATTTGCAAGAATATTAAGTAAAAGTATTAGATATTTATTATGCCAAGTGTGCAAATCACATCATTGGCAAGAATATTATTTTGATTTTGAATATCTCTGTAAATAATAAATTAATCAGACAATATTTTTGAACCAATTCTTGAGAGATCAATAATAATTTCAATTTTAAATACTTTGTTTTCTTTCAGTTTTTGGATTATTTTTGTGCTTAAGTACAAAACAGTGATTTTAAGTTCATTTTATTAGATTTTTTGTTAATGTCATTATTAATATGGGGACCCTACATTATCGTACTGTGTAAAAATATGTTTGTAATACAAATTACAATTTATGTTGCTGTATTTTCGTATAGTACATGACAATTAAAACAATTTCATTACAATATGAAAGTGAAGTGACGTCATAGTGTGGTATTTGGATTGAAAAAACGTCTCATAATACAGGTGTTATCATGTACTACATTTTATGTGATTAGGTACATAATGGTGCTGTTTTTTAATATGGCTGTTGATAAATTTTATAATGAAATGTTCATTTATGTAAAACTTCCATTCCCTTTACATACGGGGCACTGGTATTCTATCATTTTGTTATTCAATTCCGTACGTAACTATGTTTTTCGTAAGATATCGCAACATTATTAAACCAAGTCCTTCAAATGTAGAAACGCAGGAAAACGTCACAGTACGGATGATCTAAAAGCATTACTGTTAAATGGAATAAAGTGTGTAAATCTATACGAGCATAACATCGGCTTGTTTGTTCGGCGCCATATTGGAAATATTCATATTATAGTTCTAAGACACTGAACTGTCCTATCCATGACATTGACAGTGGGGCGCCACCGTCAATACCGGATCGCTGGTTCCGATTATTGCCATTTTGGAAACCATATAGTTGAACGATGGTAGCGCCCCCCTGTCATTGAGTTTGGTGGGACAGTTCAGCGTGGGTCATCTATAACTCTTACGTGCACACTAGTACGCCCGGCGCCGGGCGGCCCGGGCTCACTGGAACAAACTTTGCACTTTCAACTTGGGGATGTATGTGTTCTGCGAGCTACTCCTTATTATTTTTATCTGAAACAATATTGAGATTTTATGGTAGACTTATGACTATATTGGAAAATATCTCAACCATAACTAAAATGATTTTTTGAAATATTACCACAGAATAATAATAAGTACTACGTACAGAAGGTTTACTTCGCGAAGGTATTTAAAAAAATGTATGCTCAATGTCGTTAACAATATGGTGTAATTTAGCTTGTCTCAAGAGTCAAGCACCATTTTGTTGACAAACGTCAGTGATCGATACTGCGCCGAAGCCGACCAAAGCCATAGGGCTGACTTCGGTAAAATGATGTGACGTGAGGTGCCAAACTGCGGAAAATGGCGGAGGAAATACATGATTTAGCATGAATTATCATGAATAATATTAACCACTTATTTACCTTTCAGTGTTTTCAGGCAACTTAAAAAAGTACATTCTGTGTTTTTATTATTATTTAGGCAGTTAAATACTGCACAGTATTTAGTACACCGTTTTCTTTACTTTTTTTTCCATCATACACAAGAATACGAGTGCGTGAGTCAATGCTCGCTCGTATGTGAGGCCTTGTCGAATAGTAATCCTGTAGGGTGCCATCGTGCTTGTTTTGTTTTTAATGTAAACTCGCGGAGATGAACAGGCCTGATATTACTATGAAATATAAACGGAAATATTAAGTTTGGAATCGATCATACTCACTTCATTGAAGTCTGTCAGGTCTAATGGATCTTTCAGCGCCTGAAACCAAACGTATGATTATGAATACCAGAATACATGGCTAGTTTAGTTTTTAAGGTGGCTTTGAAATAGTGATTGTTTTTCCATCTCTGTCGCGCATACAACTGACTTGTGGCCTTAATTAAACGATGGGACGTAAAATGAAGCGACGTGATGCTATGTAATACGACTAAATACTTCACGCGACTTACGTTACTACGTAAACCGCTACCATATACAATAGGGTTCGAAAGGATAAATTATCAATAATAACTATCACGATAATTATCATGATAATTATCTTGATAATAACAGATGGATAATTATCGGTTGATAATAACAAAAAAATGCGCTCGTGAAAGTAAGAAAGTCGTATTCGAAGTTTTCGAACGTGTATTTCCGCACTTGCGTCTAGTGGTGGACGTTATTTAACATAGATAGTTCTAAAACCTATCTATTTAGCTCCATAACGATCACTTGTTAACTCAAAATTTGTCTATTTTCCACAACGCTTTATGCGACTAGCGATGGATAACTTGACAACATACAGTAACCAAAAACATAAGCAACATTCTCAATGTAACATCAGAATTTCTTATGAAAAAATATGACAAATGTATCTTAATATACTGTTGATAATTATCCGATAATTATCAGATAATTATCACGAAGCGTAATTATCTTGATAATTTCGAACCCTGATATACAAAGATTACTTGATATTTTCGTGTCGTTCCCGCGTTTGTCGTTTACCTGGGACAGCGGGTGGGCGATGACACTCCAGCACTTTACTGCTTACACTCCTCCTCACCTGTTCTCAAGTTTGCTGTGCTGTGGGGGATGGGAAGGTACTGTGTGGCATACATACTTTTTTATACGCAAGAAACAACAACGGCATCAGTCAGAGGCCGCTCTAAGGTCTTCCTTACACTTCGGCGCTGGGTTACCGTAGCCGCGACGTAAATTCGAGTTTTGAACGCTGGATCTACGCAGCACTAGCGTCAGGTCCGCACAGCGCCAACGCAACGTCTTTTTCGGATGAGTAATTTTTTTTTATCCACAACGAGGAAGCTCTTGGCCTGTATCTCACCTGATCGTAAGTGATGATTTATTTATTTATTTATTTATTTATTCTCTACCAACATTGTTACATTACAACATGTACACTTAAAAATTACAATTATGAACAAAGTTACAATGCAACAACAATTATAGGCTGACACAACATGCAATATAGATTCAATGCAGTTTGTTTCGAACCGTTCCATGCACACATAAAAAAACACTTAATCGTATCAATAATAGTAGAATTTTGATTTAAACATGACTTATCTTATAAGTAGGTACCTACTTACTTACTACAAATGCAAAATAAGTTTCATTTACTAAAAAAAAAAAAGAAACAACAAACGGTTACCATAGCTCAATCTGACACAAACAGTTGAGACGCCACAAAGGAGTATAGTTTCCTTTTATACTGTGTTTGGGAGTAGTGCAGGATCAGGCCAAAGGTGGAAGCGAGCTTCACCCTGAATCCTCAACCACGGGGGAACTGGCTATCTACCCTCTAACGGCCGGAACACAACAATGCTGTTAACATTTAACATTGTTGTTATGGCGACAGACTAAGGTAAGATGGTGGTAACGCCTGGTCCGTGAGCACGTAGAATTTTGTCCAATGACCCCAAGCTACCCATCCTTATCGCTCGCGCGTAATTATGTTGCTGCGGCAGGCGGTGATATGGATGGGTAGCTTGGGGTCATTGGACAAAATTCTACGTGCTCACGGACCAGGCTTTAGCTAGCCAAGCGGACTTAGAACAAGTCCTACCATCAACTAAACCGAACAGAAAAATCGCGGCGAGCACGCGCAGCTGGTGCGCGCGCAGCAGGTGCTCGGTGTGCTCGCGGCCGAGCGCCTGCCGCAGTGTACTGACCGGCGCCTGCTTGGGCGGGCGGCCGCGGCGGGCGGGCGGGCGGGCGGGCGCGGCGAGCACGCGCAGCTGGTGCGCGCGCAGCAGGTGCTCGGTGTGCTCGCGGCCGAGCGCCTGCCGCAGTGTACTGACCGGCGCCTGCTTGGGCGGGCGGCCGCGGCGGGCGGGCGGGCGGGCGGGCGCGGCGAGCACGCGCAGCTGGTGCGCGCGCAGCAGGTGCTCGGTGTGCTCGCGCGCCGACCGCATCACGGCGCCGCACGACGAGAACACGCACGTCATCGTGCCCGCCTCCTCCTCCTCTGAAGCTTCTGTGGATCAGAATACACAATAGAGATGTTACCAAAGCAAGAGTTTGAATTAGTCCGTCGGTTAACTTATCAAAAAATACTCGACACGTATTTTTCACTTTTTTAACGTTATGAAAATTGAAAGAGATTAAGCACGCCAAAGATTCAAAGAAGAGGCCTGTGACGTCAAGGCCTGCTTAAAATTGTAGCACTCTGTAACGTCGCGCGGAACTTCAAAGCATCATAACTTCGTAATTACTTGTTTGATTGACAAATAAAAATATACAGTTCCAATATTTTTTGATAAATGTAATTGACAGACTAAAAATTAGCCAACAACTCAGTTTCAGTAGCGGTACTGACTTGAGTCCTGGTCGGCGTCGTGCACGGGCGCGGCGAGCGTATGCTGCGCCACATGGAGCCTCAACAGACGCTCGCTCGGCAAGATGGCGTCGCAGATCCCGCAGCGCTGGCCGTGGCTTCGAACTTCAGGGTGTGCTTCACGTCTGGAAACAAAAAATATTAGGGTTCGAAACACATATGCTGCTTAGTTTGGGCGAAATCTCGATCTCTTTCAAAACAAGATTGCTACCTACAGATCATCCGCTGCCCATAAAAGCCTCAATTCTGCCCGTAGTCTCAATGTTTTGAAACATTTCCGCTCACATGACAACCCATGTCATGATAGAATACCTTGGATTTAATTATTTCCGATAGAATACGACACTGCTGCACCCAAACCCAAACGGGTCGCCACTCAAATCGAGATCATATCAATCGGCACGAATTTCCCCGATAGATTTTGAACGTTTTTGTNTTTATTGTCTTTCGAATATGATGCAAATGAATTGATAAACTTCATCATTTTTCGAATAAGGTGCAAATCTATTGAGAACTAAGAAACAAGCTGACAAAATGGCTCCAATAGCCTCGTCATTACCTGTGCGTGTACATGTGGTTCCTCTGCTGGAACTGCTCGCCGCAGACGGTGCAGTCGTAGGTGGCCTTATTCGAAAGATGATGAAGTTTATCATCTTTCGAATAAGGCAAATCTATTGAGAACTAAGAAACAAGCTGACAAAATGGCTCCAAAAGCCTCGTCATCACCTGTGCGTGTACATGTGGTTCCTCTGCTGGAACTGCTCGCCGCAGACGGTGCAGTCGTAGGTGGCTTCCACGGGCCGCCCGTTCAGATGCCGCTTGCGGTGCTGGTTCAGATTCGTCACCTGCCGGCAACGGGCGTCGTTAGCAAGAACCACGTTTGCATGAAAAGCTTCTTCTTGTCGTGTCGACAACAAACCTATAAAGTGTCAGCCCAAAAGTCCGTTACAAGAGTGGCGTTGTCAGTAGCATTTATTATTTATTAAATCTACCTGCGTGCAGTTGTTTGGGCACGCAGGGCACGAAATCAAGTGCTTCATCGACTGGGGAACACAACCACACTTGCACTCCAAGTTTGAGCCATCCAAGAAACTGTGACATTTATTGCTAAAAAGACACCATTGTGTAATTTATTTATTTATTTTATTGGTCTGCCAACATTTATTGTCATTTGGTCCAATTTACCAAGCCAACAACTCTTCATTCGTGTTTTTTTTTACTCAGACACGGGTGAATCTAATACTGCAAATTGTGGATTAAGTTGCCAATTAAACACCTCACATTACAGTAAAAATACCGAGTCGTCATTTAACCCTCGGATTTAATTTTTACATAACTGGAGCTGTTATATTAATTAACACTATAGCCTGACCAGGAACATAAAAACCCTGCAACACTGAGTACAGTCGTACCTGTGTTAAATTAATAGGCTAACTTTATGTATCAGGATTCAGGATTACGCGCTAATTTGATATTTTCATTAATTAACGAAAAAATATTATTATAGGTAACCTGCTTTAAATAAATTAAATGAAACCATTAATCGAGCTAGTAGAATTTATTTTATTATTCATCAATAATCAAATTCAGAACTTGAATATTCAACTGCAATGTCTGCTCATGAACGCTTCAAACTCGGTACTTCTTTCCTAATTCTATAAAATTCAACACTTACGAAAGTGACACTTTTTTTTAAAATAGGTAGTTGAAACAAACCACAGCTAATTTTCATAGTGGACTGTACTATACGATAAACATGTCAGTCAATTTGACAACCTTTGTCGGAAACATTATTCAATGAAAATATTGTCCGAACCCTTAGTATTTCTCTTCGACAAATACTTTAACACATTGTGAACCACTTTTCTTTCACGACTATAAAAATATTTAATTCACAAAACCAATTGCGCACATTTAAAATAAAGTTTGCTGCACACTATCTTTTTTTGAACTTCCCGCGGTTTTTCAACAAATCTGCCAATGGGACTACAACGCCATGTAAAATTAGTACTTATACAATCACACTCAAAGTCGATTATGCTTAGTGAAGATTATTACTATTGATTTTACGAGCCCCAGTCCCACAGTCAGATAATAGTGTGACCTAAATGTCAGTCAATCAACTTAATGCTCGTACAGTCAAGTACAGAAATATGTAGCATTTTAGCCACATTCTTATGTCAATGGAATAGGGTCTGAGAGACTTTGTAAACTGTTTTTTTTTTATTTACATAACTGTACATAACATGCTTATACGCAATTATAACATTTTAAGTGTTATAAAACATACCAAAAAATTACAGATTAACCTATTCTTAGTCTGTACCGAAATACCTAGTTTACAGTCTTTATGTATCCTGTATAAACATTTATTTCTCTATGCTGTGACTCTTATATTCCAAATCAAGCCTTATTCCAGATCTCTTAATACTATAAATTTGTTTAGGCACATCAAGCAAAACAATCTAAAAATTAGGCTAATTTGCAATAAACTTGTAAAGTAAAATGTGCTGTCAAGTTCAACTGTACAATAACTTCAACCAATCAATGGTCAACCTGTTAAATTATTTTGAACTTTAACACCTTGTGATAGTGTCCAAAAGAATGAAAATTGCGATTTTTCTTAAGGGTTACACATACCTGCGCATAAGCCTTGTTGCAGCCGGGTTCCGGGCACACAAATGGCCGCTCGCCGGTGTGCAGTCGAACATGGTTGTTCAGGTTCGTGACCTGAGTAAAAAAAAATTAAAGATCTTCCAGGGACATAATAGTATCTGTATAACGGCTACATAATACGCACAGTACATAGTTTATGAGCTTTTGACACTTTTTTTAATTTTTCGGTTACAATAACTGCACTGTGATAAAGATCAAATTAGATTTTTTTTTACTATCAGTGTGTCGTTGATTATAGTGCTCAGCTCATTATTAAGGAATTATTTATGGCCTGTCTCAATAAGCCCATTATCTAAAATCTGACTAGACTGCTTTTAAGTGCCACAGACAAAATTTTAAATTGTTTTTATTTGCATTTTCCAACCGCAACAGTGGAACTCAGCCCTCCCTTCAGATANATTGAGTTTTAATTTCGCTTCACTAAGCAAACTACATACAAAAAAACGTCAGAGCGACGTGATTTCGACATTCAAACTATCTGTTTCAACTGTAACTTTGTCTAGGTGGACATAACAAAATGAATCATACCTGAGTAAATGCTTTCCCACATTCGGTGCATTTGAAAGGCCGCTCGTTGGTATGGATACGCAGGTGCGCCCTAAGGTTGTTGGACTGAGAAAATGCTGCAGAAAAATACATAAATAAATTACAAGTCTGTCGACTTTATCGTAAGCAATCTAGGCATAAATTTGAGAACCATTATTACGCTGTTAAAAAAGCGTTTTCTGCTGCGCAAAAAACGTAATAATATAGCATTTTCGGTTCTTTTTACAGTTTAACTATGCTCTGCTACCTACGTACAAGACATGTTTTTAGGCGGTAAATATTGAACGCAGTCCGTCTAATGTCTAATAAATAACGCGAATTTGCTATATTCTAAAGAGCTTGTGCTGAGTGTTTTGGAATACACATAACAACTCGTAACAAGATTCAGTCTCTTCTATAAGGGCCTCCGCTAGAATTCGCGCGGGCGCCTTCACTGTCTGTATCGAAAACTAGTATGAGCAGTGTGGCGCGGACGCGTACGACGAGTTTCGGACTGACGCGGACGTTTGCAGGGCTACTCTGAAACGCTACTTACGTTTCGAATCTATTCTGTCACCTTCGCATGAGCTGGCAGCTCGCTTTGCGTGAGAGGGATGGCAATATTCGACACTTCGGGTAACGTTTTTCGGTGTAGCCCCGCTGGAACGGGAGCGGGCACCCGCACAAGTTTTAACATAGGCCCTATGACTTCGACAACTTTGGTTTTCTGGCGAATAAACATGCGATAAATACTTTTAGATATTTGATAGGATATTAGCACTAACCTTTATTGCAATAAGTACAAACAAACCGCCTCTCCGCACGGTGGTTGCGCATATGGTTCTGCAGCTGCATGCTCTTCTGGAACGACTTGTGGCAGATGCCACAGTAAAGGGATTTATCATTGCTCTCCTGCAAATTATTATGCTACATTCAAGTTTCTTATACACTGACTTTCTAATGGACGGAAAGGTCATGTGACACGTTTTGAGGCGCGCATCAAGTCTTAAATTGTCTTTATTGTCATTGTCATTCTTTCTCTCTTTTTGAAGTTTGCCCACTCCTAAAGGCCAATGCATATCACGTTTTCAGGCGTCGTCAACGTACATTTCACGCGATCGGAACGCGCTGTTTACGCGATATTAATGCAATGAATGTACCTTTTAGCAGCAAAAGTTTTTCAAGTTTAGCAGAGCAGCTACCGCGCAATTGTAAGACGCACGTCTATGGCGCCGAAAAAAACTTATGTGCAGGGGCCTTTAGCTTCGGGAATGCGAAATAAGAATGAGGCAATATTATGCTATGTACGAGATTAAAAGAGAGAGGAATTAAGAAGATTCAATATAATTTTGATTGATACACAGCAGTCTACAGTGATTTTTTTATAAGTTTGTAGGTAGAAGTAGACCAATAATAAGTTCCAAGGATTTGACATTGTGACGATAATAACTTTTTTAATGTTAATAATAATTCACAAAATAGAAACCTCATCAGTGTTGGAGTTCTGTGACTCGGAAGGATCGGGTGGATCGGTGGCGCTGTCGTCGATGGTCACTTCAGGCACCAGCGGCTGGCATTTGAAGCAAGCGTACACACCATCGTTGCCTGTCTCAAACAGTTGCTGAAATTAAAAAAAAATAAACATTTTATTACAACCAAAACATTCATTTATGAATGCTCTTTAGTTTCAACTAAAGTATACTTTCATAATCATACTTTCTTCAGTTTCTTTAATCTGACTTATCAATTAGTTTTGTTAAACAAAATTAAAGTAAACAAACTTTTCTTTGACCCCATACTGCTCAACTCAATAAAGATAAATAGTAGTATCAAAGTAAAAAAATTGGAAACAAAAGCAATAATATAATAATAACATTGTCAGCTCAAATAATTTTAATAAAACACAATCACAATCACATTTTATAAGAACTTTGACTGGATAGTATAAATGTCTTGGGTCGGAATATTAGAGGTAGGGAGGAATTTACGTACAAATGAGCTAATTTTCAAACTTGTGCAAGTATGCAAACTTCAGTGTGCATTGTGAAACAACATAAAACCCATCATGCTTTTTGTACAACTGTGACCCAATCAGTTGGTTTTGTGTAAACTTTTCAAGGTTCCCTCTTTACGATACACAGTGGTCACAACCGAGAAAAAACAAAGTCACTTGTTTTTTACAGGGCACTCAGCAGAACCAGACAAAAAAAAACATACCGACGGCCAAGAAACAAAAAAACGCGGGCAGGTTTCGGATGCACATTTTTATCATGTACTGCAATTTAAAACGTTGTAAACCATTCAATACACTTAAAGGAATGTCATGATATCAAGTAATAACCATTTTACTAGTCGTACATAAACGAAATTCTTTCAGACGCGTTATTTTTATAACAATCTAAAGAAAACAAAAAATAATAGTCGACGATTACACAAAAGAAAGCGTAAAGGGAGCGTTAAGATACTTACAACTGCAGGTTTATCACAAATCCCACATTTATCCATTGTAAATAAACAAAAAATCACAATATTTAAGTAAATAGCACATAAAAATCCACAAAAAAATATTTTTCGCACTTCGCGAACAGACAGCTCCAAAAAGACAGGCGGGGTAAGGGGAGGGGAGTGCAGGGCGGGGCAAGCGGAACCATAGGCAATCTATGTCAAAAACATAGACAAAATTATTTTTTACTGAAATGTTTTTGAAAGTAAAATAAAAAGATGGAGGACGCAATTAATTTAAAATTAATTCGCTTTATTTCAAAAAATATAAATGAGTAAATAAAGGCCTACAAGTCACAATTACAATCATCGATAAGTGAATAAACCAAACTTAATTTTGACAAATAGTGTCGTAAAAAAAAAACTATAATTGACGTTTCTTACTTTCTTCATCTCGTGTTTTTCCGTGAAAAATTAGATTTTTTTAATTAGTATTTTTGGTTAATTACTCTTCTTCAACGTAACCATGAACTGTACATAATGAAATAATTAGTGAAACAAGATAGTGCCCATTTTTTTTTGGTGTTTTGATGTAGTTTTGTTTAGGTGTTATTGCCTTGTTTTCAAGTTATTGTTAACCTAGTAAATATGTCTGAGAAACCCGTGGCTGCGAGTGGCAACCAGCCCATCGTGAAGATTGGGCACTACACGCTGGGGGCCACTCTAGGGGTGGGCACCTTCGGCAAGGTAAAGATAGGCGAGCACCAACTGACGAAGCACAAAGTGGCTGTGAAGATCCTCAATAGACAGAAAATAAAGTCCCTAGACGTGGTCGGAAAGATCAGACGAGAGATACAGAACCTCAAGCTGTTCAGGCACCCACATATTATAAAACTGTACCAGGTAAATGACAGGTTTTAATTGTGTTGACCTTGAGCATTAATGTGTTTACAATGCAGGACAATAGATAACTTTGTGTTATTACCATTCATTTGGATCAAGTCCTTAAAGATTCTTGATAAAGCAAATATCTTTATCAGATTCTGTTCTGGTACATATTTGCAATTCATAAATTATTTCATCTGAGGTGGAATTGTGTTCCATCTGAGATTTTATTGTACAATATGAACTGTCAAATGATTACGATTGCTTTATACAATTCCACCTCAGGTCCTAGCTTGAACATGAATGACATAATATTCTATTTGATAATTTGTATTGATAAGTATGAAAAAACATAATGCCTATTTACCTAAACCTTTCCAGGTGATATCCACACCAACTGACATCTTCATGATTATGGAATATGTGTCTGGCGGGGAGCTCTTTGACTACATCGTAAAGCGGGGAAAACTGCAAGAACATGAGGCACGGCGGTTTTTCCAACAGATCATTTCCGGAGTCGACTACTGCCACCGACATATGATTGTGCACCGGGACTTAAAGCCAGAGAACCTCCTATTAGACCATAATATGCACGTCAAGATTGCAGACTTCGGTCTGTCTAACATGATGATGGACGGAGAATTTTTACGGACTTCGTGTGGGTCCCCAAATTATGCAGCTCCTGAGGTAAAACATTAAAAAATCTAAATCTCTTGATACTTTTACCAGCCACTGAGCCACAAAAATTATTAAAAATAATAATTTTAATTACAGGTTATTTCAGGGAAGTTGTATGCAGGTCCAGAAGTAGACGTATGGTCTTGTGGCGTCATTCTTTACGCTTTGTTATGTGGTACATTGCCTTTCGACGATGAACATGTTCCGACTCTCTTCCGGAAGATCAAATCGGGCATATTCCCGATACCTGAGTACTTAAACAAGAGTGTTGTGAGTCTGTTATGCATGATGCTTCAAGTGGACCCAATGAAACGGGCCAGTATTGAGGATGTGAAAAAACATGACTGGTTCCAAAAGGATCTACCGGGGTATCTGTTCCCATCCCCTGTAGAACAGGTATTAGTATGTACTCAGATTATCTTTTTTACACTACTCACAACACACACACCACATGTAATCACATCTTAACTCTATCCATTTAAAGCACATATTTTACTATCAAACACCCCCAAATGAACAAAAAATACTCCACAAATGTTTTGTTTTCTGACAACTTTCCTAATTCACATGTTTTTCTTACAGGACAGCAGTGTAATTGACACGGAAGCTATAGCAGAAGTGTGCGAGAAGTTTGGAGTTAAAGAGCACGAAGTACATAATGCTTTGTTGAGCGGAGACCCGCACGACCAACTGGCTATCGCTTACCACCTAATTATAGACAATAAACGTATTGCTGACGAAGCCGCTAAGGCTGAAATCAAGGACTTTTATGTAGCTAGTGAGTAAACCATAATATCTTAATGTTCTAAACTTATAGGTCCTCATTACAAAAAAGTTAAACCCAGGACGAACTCTGGTTTAAAATGACATTTCCATACTAAATGTCAATTTAAACCAGGGTTCAAACTGAGTTTTTGTAATAAGGGGTATAAAATCTGAAATGGACTTTGAAAAACTATGTAGCACACTTCTAAACACATTCACATTTCACTTGTCCGAATGATTTATTGATATTTAGACCACAATGGCCTAACTAACAGTTTCGATATTCGACTACCCTACAAAGTTTGCTACGGTCGTTTTATTACCTTTACCATTGAAATATTATTCTTCTTTTATTTGGCAACCACGATTTCGCCAATGTTACGTAAACAGCCACTGTAGGACCGTAGAGTAAGGTCCTGTAACTCGCCAGTGGTGCAAACTGTTTACACAAATCTGTTCATAGTCTTCTGACTGATTACACACACGAAAATTAAAAAAAACTATCTGTGTCTTGAGTTCTCGTGTAATTGTTTGCAGATAATTCCCCGCCGGCCACGAGCGAGAGTTCCCGGCCGCACCCTGAGCGTATTGCGCCGCTGCGTGACAAGCCCGCGCCCGCCGCGCTTCCCCAGGCGGACAAGAAGGGAACGCCCGTCAAGAGGTCAGTGATGATTCATTAATATTGGGAATTCGTCTTTAAATCTATTGCACTAAGGTTCACGAGTCAAACATTGTATCGGAAACAGAGGATTTATTATGATACTACCAAGTCCCTAATTATTATCTACCCCGAACGTATCGCACCGCTGCGGGACAAGCCCGCGCCCGCCGCGCTTCCCCAGGCGGACAAGAAGGGAACACCTGTTAAGAGGTCAGTGATGATTCAGTAATATTGGGATTTCGTCTTTAAATCTAGAGCACTAAGGTTCACGAGTCAAACATTGTATCGGAAACAGAGGATTTATTATGATACTACCTAGTCCCTAATTATTATCTACCCCGAACGTATCGCACCGCTGCGGGACAAGCCCGCGCCCGCCGCGCTTCCCCAGGCGGACAAGAAGGGAACACCTGTTAAGAGGTCAGTGATGATTCAGTAATATTGGGAATTCGTCTTTAAATCTAGAGCACTAAGGTTCACGAGTCAAACATTGTATCGGAAACAGAGGATTTATTATGATACTACCTAGTCCCTTTATTATCTACCCCGAACGTATCGCACCGCTGCGGGACAAGCCCGCGCCCGCCGCGCTTCCCCAGGCGGACAAGAAGGGAACGCCCGTCAAGAGGTCAGTCCGAATGCGTCTTGAAATCTATATCATTAAGGTTCCTTCAGTTGCGAAAAACACGGAAGATGAGTCGACGAACATTGTATAGGAAGTTTAGGAAGCTGAGGAACTATCGAATTTTGATACTAGTAGGTATAGCCTGACCAGGAACATAAAAACCCTCGCCATGTTGCGGAAAACTAATGGTACTAATTTCTTTTAATGGCAACAGTAACTGAAAACTTCATTTACATGTCACCTTGCATGTCAGTCTATTGTTGTCAAAGTGTAAACAAACTTTATTTTAAATGTTTGCAATTGATTTTGTGAATTAAATTGCTAAAATATTTTTATAGTCGTGAAAGAAAAGTGGTTCACGATGTGTTAATGTATTTGTCGAAAAGAAATATTAAGGGTTCGGACAATATTTTCATTGAATAATGTTTCCGACAAAGGTTGTCAAATTGACTGACACGTTTATCGTATAGTACAGTCCACTATGAAAATTAGCTGTAGTCTGTTTCAACTGGGTTACCTACGCCATATCGAATGACAAATGATCGAAAATCAAAATATCGAATACGTTTCATCGAACGATCAAAATATCGAACGATCAAAATATCGAATGCTCAAAATATCGAACGTTCAGAATATCGAACCATCAAAATATCGAACGATCAAAATATCGAACGATCAAAATATCGAAAGTCGATATAGACGTTTTATTAAATTTCATCATGCATCATTTCTTCAAGTTTATAAATTTTGAGAAATAATGTCCGTGGGGACCTATTATAAGCCTAGCCTGTCCCAAAAAGGAAAGTTCAGAAATGATGCGTGATGAAATTTAATAAAAACGTTTATATCGACTTTCGATATTTTGATCGTTCGATATTTTGATCGTTCGATATTCTGAACGTTCGATATTTTGAGCATTCGATATTTTGATCGTTCGATATTTTGATCGTTCGATGAAACGTATTCGATATTTTGATTTTCGATCATTTGTCATTCGATATGGCGTAGGTAACCCAATCGGTAGGTAACCCCAAAATCCTGGGGGGTACCAGGGGGTGCCTTAGGACTTATGACGGGGGGAAGGGGGGTGACCGCCCCGGGTGCCAACCCATGCTACGCCGCCACTGACCCCGAACGTATCGCACCGCTGCGGGACAAGCCCGCGCCCGCCGCGCTTCCCCAGGCGGATAAGAAGGGAACACCTGTTAAGAGGTCAGTGATGATTCAGTAATATTGGGAATTCGTCTTTAAATCTAGAGCACTAATGCCCGTTTTCACCATTGATCCCTAATTTTTAAGTGACACCTATGAAAACAAAATTCCTGTCAAGTGTTACCATAGAAGTTACTTAAAAATTAGGGATTGATGGTGAAAACGGGCATAAGGTTCACGAGTCAAACATTGTATCGGAAACAGAGGATTTATTATGATACTACCTAGTCCCTAATTAATATCTACCCCGAACGTATCGCACCGCTGCGGGACAAGCCCGCGCCCGCCGCGCTTCCCCAGGCGGACAAGAAGGAACACCTGTTAAGAGGTCAGTAATGACGCCTCTGTGGTCTAGTGGTTAGACCACCTGCTTCAGACGCAGAGGTCCCGGGTTCGATTCCCAGTGGGGGCAGATTTTTCTGTTCGGTTTGGTTGGTGGTAGGGCTTGTTCTAAGTCCGCCTGGCTAGCTACCACCATCTTACCTAAGTCTGTCGCCATAACAACAATGTTAACAGCATTATTGTGTTCCGACAGTTAGA